ATATACTACGGCACTGCTAAACATGTTTATAGTAGAAATAAGTGAAATCTCAGGATATTGAAATCTTCGGTATCATCGGTTTCGATAATCCCTAGCTCGCGAGCTAGGGACTAACGAAGAATTCACAAACTTCAGATTCCATTTCTCCTGTCGAAAACATACTTAGCAGTGCCGTACTATATCCTCACTACAATTTTGCAGCGTTTTCACTGACTTCTCAGGAAGATAAATCACTATGAAAACGAGAGGGGATCACATAAAATGGCAAAAAACTAATTTTATATGGAAGTAATCTGGTATCCATTATGCGCAGGTATGAGCATATGAAAACCCATTAGGCAAGATGGAGAAAGAAGAAAAAAGATATGTAGAGAGCGAGATATGATGCATCACTCTCAGATCCCCTCAGCTCCCCAGCTGCGATGTACGTGCATACGGGCCTGAGTTGTCACTGACCCCGTCAACGCCGGCAACCTCGACAACTGTAACCTCGGCAGCCTCAGACACAACTGCCACCAACCTATGGCCGTTCTTTAAGTGTTCCCTACGTTACCAGTGGTTGCCACTGTTTCTCGTGACTGTCGCAAGCGCTTAGCTGATATTCTCACATTTCGGAAAGAAATTGCATCCTGCGGCTTATTTGCATGCTATTTTCTCAGCCATTACAAGACTTCAAAGAAAAAATACCCAATGTGAAACGACAGAAACGAAAAATTGTCAAAGGCCTGAGCCTCGACGCCATAATAACATTGCACCAGGAGTGCTGCTGTTGTATTGGTCGAAGAGTGTTCCGGCGTCGCTTCGCGAAAAATTCGCACCGATCGTACCTCCTAACTGTCCCACCGATTTACATACGTTGGAGAGTTATGTGTCTGGAGTTCTTAGCTTAGCTTCCCTCGCCATTCAATAAACAAGCAAGAATTGCCAAAGCTCTGAAGATCAAGTTAGGAAATGACAACAAGAATAAAGAATAGCACATAAAGGTACAGGGCTTTCAATCTGAATGTCACGGTCGACGTGGTTCAGGTCCTCGAGAGTCGCCTTGCTTGGGTCTCTCACATGGTACAATACCGCACCCGATACCGCGAAGACCTTAGCGGATGCGGTATTGTACCACGTGAGAGACCCAAGCAAGGCGTCTAGCGAGGATCTGAGCCATGTCGACAGTGACACTCAGGGTCGCATGCATTAACATCCCCGCCGGGGATGGGATCACAGCTTCAGAAGAAAGCTTCATATCCTGAAGCTCAAGATAGTGGATTTCACGCATATACCTATCCGTAAGTACTCCCACCATCCCTCACTATCAACATCTAGAACGGGCCAAGAAGAGTACAAGCCGCATTTTCCAGCTTTTTGTATGGTCCCCTGGTGATCCTCCGCTGCCGGACGTCTTCTTTAAAGTCATTTTTCTTCCTTCAGAGTCAACGAAAACCTTCCAAAGTTGTATTGATTATCTAACCCAGCAGTGCTAAGTATGTTGCTGATAAGAACAGATGAATTTTGGAGTATTAATTTTTCTCGATAAATCACAACTTTCGACTTGTGGTTCATCGCAAATTTCATGACTCTAAAACGCTGTTCTTACGAGAAACATGATTAGCACTGTTGGGTTAGATAAACAGCACAACCTTGGAATGTTTTTATTGCCAAAAAAATGACTTTCAAAATAAAAAAGACGGTCGGCAGCTAGAGATCATCAAGGGACCAAACAAAAAGCTGGAAAATGCGGCTTGTACAGCTTCTTGCTCCCTTCAAGATGTTCATAATGAAGGATGGTGGGAGTACTTGTGGATAGGTAGACAGCGTGAAATCCGGGATCTGGAGCTTCAGGATATGAAGCTTTCTTCTAAAGCTGCGATCGCCTCCCCGGCGGGGATTTTGATGCATGCGTCCCTCAGATTGAAACCCTCTGTAGCTTCCCACATGCAAAACTGGACGCCGTTGCATCCGATTAAGATAGTAAGTACGAGAGAGACACAGACTGCAAGATGAGTGAAAGCGTTTGGTCTCAGAGACGCAGACAAGATCTGCCATAGCGACCTGTCTCTGCATGCGACGAATCGCCTAAACAACTAATCTGACGCAAAAGCAAACTTTTTAGAATCTAATATATAAAGAATCTTAAGGTGCATTCAAACATCATCAAATAGCGGGGAAATGAGCGGGTCCGCGAGAGCGCCTTCCTAGCACCTTTGAGATTACTGGTTCACTAGTGGTGAATAAAAGCCAATGCGTTTTGAAACACCACATACGAGAAAAGGCAACCTGGGATAGTAGTAATCATGCTAAAGAACCCCTAACGAAGTTTTGGGTAAATTTGGGATTCCGACCCACCTACCGTATGCTCGTCGTAACCCTGGAAAAAGGCCCTACCATGCGAAATGAATTTAATTTTGTGATCAGCGGGCTGAATAACCCCTTAGATGGATTTGCAGAGTCGCTGATCTGTTAGATAGCGCCGAAACTTCTTATGCATACACATAACATTCTCTTGGATACGAAGAACGTAAGAAAAAAGAAAAGAGTGGACATTACAGTCATAACGGAGACTCACGAGTTGTTTCAATTTCGATAAATCGACGAAATATGCAAATTGTTCTTAAGATTCGGATACTTGGAAGCTCTGCGTAATTTTGATTAGCAAATTCATGCTCGTGCTCTAAGGGGTTAGGATAAACCACTACTTGGAATTTGTGGAGAAGTTGCTTGAACTTGTTGAAAGTGCGCACTGCATTTTCAAGTATCTTGCTCGTAGAAAGGATGAAATCAAGGATAAGATCTTCGGAACGAGCATGCACACCCATCTGTGCCCTGCCCATCGATGAATGCAACAAAAGAAAAAAAGACGAATGCCGCTCCCGCATGCCAGCAGCCGCGATTATCGACTGTTACTGGAGCGCGAAAACCGCACGCTGATAACGCAAGGAGTCATCGTGCATGAAAGCAGTGTGTGTTACTGTTGTGTTACTCTGCTGTTTAGGGCATAGATGTTATTTAGAAGACTTGATATTCAAATTGCCTACTAAATACCTCTCACGTGCCCACAGTAACCTTATCAAGCCTCTAATTTTTCAGGTTGGTCTGCAGCTTTCAAAGATTAGAATGTGTAATAAGTTCGTCCACAATTTTTGTGCTTTTTCCTTTCTCCTTAATTTCAAGGGTTTTGAATGGTATGAATTTTGTTCAGAAAAGCTGCATGTGCTTTTAAAAGTTTAAAAGCTGCTATATCGATTTATATACTTGCTGTGCCACTATAGGGCATCTGTAGCACTGGGAGTTCACAACACGTCGCTACGAACGTTTATTGCAAGACTGCCAAAGCTTACACCCGCGCTGACCCCTGTTGGCCCGTACCCGCCCGCTTTACTGCAGGTTGATTGATGGTACGGGTTCGAGATATGACGCATCCCCTCTCAGATCCCCTTCCCTCCTCAGCGGTGATGTACGTGCATACGGGTCTCAACCGAATGTAAAAGTTTCATGATTACGAAAAGAACGGCATAGTTTTTGCAGACTGCTCAAAGTACTATCAAATCACAAAAGCTTACTTTGTAAACGTGCAGATCTTATGGAGTTCTCTTCAACGTCAACATCAGGCATGTGAAGGCACTCCTGACAGAGGACTGTCGACGAACAATTCAGGGGTGGCAGAATGAGCAGTGTGTGGAGAGAAGTCCTTGAATTTGCAGGGTACTTACTCAAAACTTGGGGTTTGGGAATATACAACTTGGAGGCAGCGATTAACCAAAGTTTTGATTCTCATTGTCAGAATTTTTGCGTGCTACAGGCCTTTGTGCAACCCTACTCGGGCACTCCTTGTTTGCTACGAAACTTGTACAATTTCAATCAAGAGAAATGGGAAACATAGAAAAAATGTCAAAAAAAATAAATTTATTTCTCTTTGAGTCCTCCTATAATAGCAGTAAATAACTTCCAAACTTCCGTTGAATTGACGCTGATAGGATAGGTAGGATTGTAGAACAGACTCAAAGTTTTCAGAAGCATTTATACGCTTTGTCAAGCATGGTTCAGAATGTTGAAAAAAATTGAAAAAGTGCATTTATTGCATAACTTAATACATCTCACCGACTCCACGATTCGTATAGAGGCGAAGTCGTAGCACCTCAAAGCGTGGCGGTTTTTAATAGCCAGAGAGTACGAAAAACAATGGTACAACGTGGAGGTTCAAGTTCATCTTTATAATCAGGGAAAGTCGGCAACCCACCTCTATACAAATCCTGGAGCCCATCATACATACTCTTTTTCGCCTTGCCGGTTATTTAACTTTAGTTTGACGATGCCTCACTTCTCATCACAAAAGAAGAAAGACCAATGCAACAATTGCCTCTACATTCCGAGCATGACTTTATCGAGTTTTGCGAAGTTTGAGCTACGGGGTTAGGAAATGGCATGGGGGGGGGGTTAGTAAGCATGCTGATTTCTAACACAGCGGGAATAAGGAATTGGCATGTGGAAGTGGGCACAGGGAAAGGTATACAAGGATACGGATAGGACCTTTGTCATAGTGTTTTGACAGGGCCTGGCAGAGCCGGGTATGCCAGCTAGTTGTGTCTAAAATTGGCATGCTCGCCTACTTTTTATTGCCTTTATTGGGTGTTAAAGTGCCTTTTTCACATTCCTTTCGCTGCAGTTCATTTATTGCTCTGCTGGATGGTAACTATGCATAATTACCGGGATCAGGCCAAAGTAAAGACATGAAATGACGCAATCGCAGCACTAGAAGTTCGCACTGCATATGCAGAAAAGGCACTGCTGGAGAGAACGAAGAGAACATAGAGAACACCTACCCCATGTTCAGGTGTATAAGCCGCACTTTTTCGAATTTTCAAGCGAGCTGCTCAGTCGCTTCACTGTGTTTTGGGAAGCGATTATTATGCAAGGCAGGGCGACTCGAAACCTGGTGCTGCAGATACGCTTAGAAATAATCTTGACCTAATCCTGATTGGGACAGACTGTACTATAAATCTCATATTTATCTTTAATCCAAGAATAATCTATCTATATCCGACCCCATAAACGAACAACGTATTTATTGCGCATAGTTAATAGTCACAGATGAGAGAATGATTTTCATTATATGTCTCATAAATTCGTGTTATTTTCCCTTTTGATTTCCCTAAATTGATCGTTTGATCGAAGCAATAATGTATCTAAAGGAGTTCTGTTACTCACAAGACCAGGAAAAACCGAGTTGAAAACGGATAAAAGAGAAAAGCGCGATCCCTGCTGCTGCTCGGGGGGTGGAGTCTCCGACTTTGGCTAAAATCATAAATTTAGTTTTAGATCATTTTTGCTGGAAACTAACCGATCGTTGTATTTGAGAAATAGCAGTCTCGCAGTCACTGGCCACACCCATTTGTTCATGAAACTTAAACAGGCAAGATGAACCATTGGTTATTTCCTTTAGACTCGTTAACAAGATAGGATTTTTTTCGCTATATCTTTTGCATACTGAAGAACTCGAAGAAACATCAAAGCTCTTTTGCTGATACGAACAGCAATTTTTGTCGCACAGCAAATGCTAAAGTCCTTAGTATATTACTTTACAGCATAATTGTGCCAATAATTCCACTCAGAACAGAAGCGAAAAAGTTTATTCGTTACCTTAGCATATTGCACATATGCTCGATTGAGTCGCTCTATCGGATTACTCAGGCGAGCCTTCGGTATGAGCTCGAAGGTAGCTTTTGGTAAGCCATTGTCCTAACAAAACCAGAATAAAAATGAATTTCACTCTATCATCTTTCTTTCTACTTGGCGCCACAAAGTGGTGCTTACCTCCCTTTCTAGTGTCACTTTGAACTCAAAATCAGTGCTTCCGGATTCGTTTACAATGGCCAAGACGTTTGCGATCAGCTAAAAAATATGAAAATGCGCCTGAAACTCAATAATGGGGCCTAACACTAGTTCAGAAAAAAAACGTAAAATTCTTATTCAAGAAGCTTTATGACTACAATCTTCCACTTTCTTTATCTCCCTTGAGGATCTTAGAAGTTGAAAAAATGATAGCAAGTGAAGCCAAAGTTTTGACAAGGAAGAAGCAATAAAAGCAGTAACATAAAGCGGTAATTTTTTATTTTCACCTTTTTCCAGCTTTCTGCTCTTTAAAAGTTAAGTTTAAGGAGAAATGGGCTAATCGACTATACAAAGTAAGGTTACTCATCGGCAATCGAGTGAATCATTTTTCTGAACCATTCGGAGTCAAAAACCCATGGATGATCAGATAGGCACTTTTGCTTTCATGGGTATCGTAAAATTGAGTGACAGTTCTCTTTTCGCTCCAGGTTCGCAAATGTGGAAAACGGATTGTAGGACTGATTCTGAAAATAAACGCCTTTCTTACCTGATTGATGAATGTCATTTCTACATCTCCTTTTCGATGTTCAGCTATATAGGGTCCTTCGAAATTCGTCTTTTCACAGAAAATGGCATCCGACACCAAAAATGCTTTTTGCGGCATTACTGGGGTGGCTTTGACCTTTGCAGCTTGCAACAGTTGTATAGGAGGTTGCGCACTTGGCTGAAGTGGGATATGAGATATAGACTGCAAAACTATGACATAATCTTTTTTGCTGGTAAGCTAAAAAAATTCTATTCACTGTTTCGATGGGTCATATTCGCGCGACTTCGGTCTACAATGTGTACAGGCTGTCAAAATCTAACTGAAAGTGCTTGCCACATAGACGCGCGCGAGTGGTTAAAGGCAGTGTCCACGCAGATTTGGAGCTCCTCAGTTCCAACATTTTAATGAAGCGGACTCCTCATACAGATCATAGTCCAGTTTCGAGTGCAAAATATTGCTTGTGAAGCGAGTAAACCGCTTCAGAAGTCTGAACAGAGACGCCCCCTTGTCCGTACCGAAGCAAGTAATCGTGCCGGGACGCGTGGTTGCAGCCAATGACAGCGTCGCAACGGCGGCGTCCCAGTCGGATTCCCTGCTTCGGTACAAAGAAAAGGGGCGTATCTGTTCAGACTTGTGAAGTGGTTTACTCGCTTCACAAGCAATATTTTGCACTCAAAACCGGGCTATGGTCTGCATGAGGAGCCCGCTTCAGTAAACTGTTGGAACTGAGCAGCTCCAAATCTGCGTGGACACTGCCTTTAAAGGCTTGTAGAGCAAGGTTTGGAGTTTTGGGGTTTCAGTGACATGGGAAAGAGTGAATACCGTTGAGCAAGCCACCGAACAAGTGCGAGCGCATAACGTTTGACTAGAAGCAAGCAATACGGCCAGGAAGTTGGGAGTCTTACGACATGGTGGAAGATCTCACCCATCTTCGAACTTCCTGCTCTGCGGCAGATACGCATGTCGCCACAGTTAAAGTCCTAAAGTCTCTCAGCGACTCTGTGTCTCAACATTGGCGAGAACTGTTCCATTCAACCAAGTTACGGTTGTGGGGTTTTGGGAAACGCCTGTTTCGCCATTTCCGCTCCCCTTAACGTTCATTTTCGGACTCAGCGTTGTGACCCTAGATAAGCAACATTGCTAGGAATCGAGTTTTTGCCCGAAATTACCTTCAAAAGTGCTGAGTTTCCAACGTAGACAAGGACAATGAGCGCGCACACTCCTTTGAATGTAATTTTACAAACTTTTGGAATCACTTATACCCAGAATACGCTAAGTAGTGCTCACATTAGCTAACGGTTTACGGATCCACGATTCAAACTCTACGCCTTTGCAGCTCTGCAGACATGATAAACCACATGCCACAGGCACCATCATGCGGGCTTGGGAATATCTCGAAGACACTGGCATGCAGCAGTAGTCCACAATCAGATTCTGACCTTTGTCTGGCTATGATTAATAATCAATACGAAAATCGAGTCTGTTTTCTACATCTCTCGAAGGTTTTTTAGGGAATTATGATTTCCCTAGCCCTTGGATTCGCTAACTAAAGTCTGTCGTGTTCGCGCTCTCAATGCTCAAACGCTGCGGACCAGGCGCGGAACGGCTGAATCATCACAAGAGCAGGAGACTTGCATAATGGCAATTTTGTGCTGGGGCAAGCGTTTTACCACGCGACGTGTGCTTCGCAGTGATGTCCAGTCCGTGCGGACAAGTCAACTATACTTATGCGCTGGAGAGCATCAATTTTGTCTAGTGTTTCTGAAGATTATTCTCGCGAAGTATTGGACGCTGACGAGCCAGCATTGTCACACAAGGAAGATTTGACGAATATGTAGAAAACCATATCAAAGTACTCGGACTAGATAAGACAAGGGAGCATTTCAAAACAGGTTTTTCTCATTACTCACTCAGTTTGAGTCCAAATTGGTTTGGAATTGCATATGGAATAGGAGATAAGGGTGCCATAGACAAAAGCCCTATGGAAGGCGTGGGTTAGAGTGGCCGTGAGCGAGGACGAAACTTATTATAGGCCGCTCGCGCAGGGCGCAGAGAGTGCGCAAAGTGTGTGCCGCGCGTCACTACCCTTTCCTCGTGCATTCTAGCTGCTGCTCTCTCTGCGCCTTTTCAGTCATGAACTATCTTCGATAGACAGGACAGCGCCGCTCTTCGCGCACGGCGCGGACGCCATAGTCTATCTCATGAGTTTGGTGCGTTTCGTTCTTTCCCTCTTTTCTTTGAGGTGATTTGCGTGCGTATACTCCCAAAAAACGAAGTTGCCCTGATTCGATAGACTCACAAGGATGAAATTCCCAAAAGCGAAAAAAAGCTTTTTGGCACTAGTTATGCTGGAAGTCCAGTGGAGAGACCAAGTAAACTAGTGCATAAAAAACATGACCCCGTATAGCTGAAGATCAAACTGTCTTAGGGCGGTGAAGGTTGTGCTCCCCCTCATCGCTCAATTAGTACGAAGCCCAAGGGAGTGCATGGTAAGAAATTATGCTGCCACGCTCTTTGTTGGAGACATTTCGAAGAAGTCACCTTCTCTGATGAGGAATCGAGTTTTCTTCAAATGTGCTGATACTCGAAACCAGTTCCATCCACGAAAATAGATGAACATACCTTCTGTTCCTTCTTGATCTGCTCTATCTGTCCTGTTCCTATGTCCGAAACTGAATCTAAGGAGATAGTACCGGCTGTCTGTAGAGATGATCGCTTGGAAAAAGTCCAAAAACAAATCTACTTACTTGAGAATACACAGAAAGTATATCGTTTTGAAACTCAATTGGTGGCTCTGCAGGGAGTATAGTTATCTGCTTGCCCTGTAATAAATCTTCAGACATTGTGTTTACAAACTAATTATCCACATTTTGTTGCACTAAATAAAATCTCCGTAATCTCCAAGGCCTCGGCCAGAGTTCATGCGATTTTATCGCCTAGCGATTCTCCCAACAGACAGCAGTTACGAGTTTGCATGCTGATCATCTTGCATTTCCATTGTGATAGTTCTCTAAAGGGCCGCGCATACTTCACGCGATATCAGTCGCGACGCGGTTTGGCAATTCGCCATAAGTCTGCAGATCCAACATTAGCAGACTACAGATGCATAGTGTGTCCCGCCGGGGCCCGAAGTGTATGTGTGCTAAGTTTGGTCTCGATCGGTTCAGAAATGGAATTTTCTATTCGGAACATACGTACACACAGACATACAGACATACAGACATACAGACATACAGACATACAAACAGACAGACAAGACATTCAGCTTTATATATAAGATTCTAATTAGCCTTGAAAATTTTTTACAAATCGTTCTGTTTCCTTTCTGAGGCAAAATATGGCCTTCTGGCTCAAAACCTTCTTCATCACCCTACGGTAATGAAGAGCGATCCGTAATTCTGTTCCTGCTGTAAATATGAGTTGAAGCTAGCTCTACTAACTGGCAGCTAAAGCTTCCCAAGATTTCCATGATAAGAAGATTATTAACGATCAAAAGTTTGATAAAAGCAAAAGTCTTTTGCTGTGTGCCGAAACTCTTTATGAGTTTTAGATTCTCACATGAACCGATTGAGGTGAAAGTCTGCACCATATGTTTTCTACCGGGTGGAGGACATTAGGTCGCCGAATTTGAAAGAGTCCCGTGCGGATTATCTGCAGGAACGCATGTCCGCGCATGTAAAAGTATGCGTATTTGTCGCAAATGACCGCGGGGACCGCCCTTTTTCGGCGACCTAAGGTCCCCCACTCTTTTCTACCCAGGAGAAATATAAACACTTTCGAGCCTGTTCGCTGTGCATCGATTTTATTGATTTGTTGCGCTTCAAATGAAAACGAGTTTTTACCAATCGCTAACAAGTCCACATTGTCGCGTAAATACCAACAGTGGAGCTCATTTTGAGTTAGCGTTGTGGACTGATTCAGGACGACCCATAAGCGGACGCTTTGATGTTGGTGCAGGAATTCCTGCAGCGCACATTATTAGGTGGAGGCTGAAGCATGTTGGAGGAGGCAAGAAAGCCGGACTTGAAGGATGTGGTTGAAAGAAAAATCCTTCCCTCTTCTTGTTCCACGACATGCGTACGATCCCGTGCCGCACCAATTGAAGTCGTGACCAGGGTCAAGCGTGTTGATGCGATCCGGGACCCCCATTTACGACCCCCCCCCTTGAAGGTACCCATCCGTACGACCCCGGTTCCCACCTCATCTACCCCCCCCCCCCCCCCATCTACCCCCCTTACCTCCCCTGCCCACATTCCTCTCGGTAACCTGCATAAACGAATGTCAATCTCAAAGAACACCTGCGTCAGAACTACAGTGAGGTTTCGGAAGCAGAATTTCTAGGCCAATGGGTGCGCCCAGCATCCGTAGCACACATACACACCTTCAATTGTTTGAGATTCTGCACGTTTTTTTTCTGAATTTTCAGGCATACTTCAGGCCAGCAAATTCGGTTCCCGTATGCGACACAAATTTTTGCACGGAGAAAAAATGACATTCTTGAACTACAAAAGATGTTTTCGACTAAGAAGCTTACTTCCTACCTCTTCCCCAGTTTTTTCTGCGAAAAAAAAAACCGCTTCAGCGCCGTCCAGAACGACGTCAAAAACGTGCATGAGCACGGTAGTTTGAAAATTCGTAACTAGGGCCAGGAAAAGACTGAGAGGCTGCAATGAACAGGTTCTGTAGCATAGTGCTCAGACTATCCATAGAAAAAGTTTAAGCCCTTGAGGAGCAGTGAGCTCGAAAAAATCTAGATGCGACTCTCGAAAATTTAAATGCGATGCTAAAAAGCAAAAACTAGGATTTTTGAGCTAAAAATTTTGTAACTTACCAGAGAAGTTATAAAACAGCCTGCAATTTTTATGAGAAAAAGTAGGAGGATGGCCTCGTATTACAGCAAGATTGCAGCCAACAAGCTTCAATCGCTCCGAAAAATGCGATGAAGATGCGACCCAGATACGACCCCCCTTTTGTCATTTTTTGCCACCATACATAAAATCATAAGAAAATCCGAAGGCTATAAGGTAAGACCACATTTTGCACAAATGTAGTAGAGCACCTCTAAAGTACAAATAAATTGTAAAGACCGTGTGAAAAGTATTACAAACAGAATTACAAATAACTGATGATTAGCGTTGATAGAGATATGCGCTTTTGTCGAGTGTGCGAGTCTTCTGTGAGCCTTCGCAAGCAGGATGTCTACACCAATCGGTACATCTAACATCTTTATCACACATACATGCCTTTAGTAGAATTTAAGCTTCTAAAGGTGTTCATTTTTTTAATTTTAGTCATGCCACCTGGTTCGATCCCCGTTTGCGACAATATTTAGCGGAAGAAATAGTGATTCCCATCCCCATCAAAAAAAGAGAACTAAGTCCTAATCTTTCAAAAGTGCAGCAAATGAAGTGAAGTTTTACGTTTGCAAATGTTTTCGAATTATTCTCACTCGTTTTTATTTGATACATTCGTACACAGCATTCCATGAATTTATTGTTAAGAACACGTAGTATTTATTTGCCATTCGATTTCCTTCCATGCTTACGGTTTTTTATCCAAACTTCCTCCTTTTACAACTCCCCCCCCCCCCCCACCATACTCAGATAATCGCCGGGGGCAGGCGGGCACCGGAAAAATAGATTGCTGATCTCTCGCACCCCGCTCGCGGATTATTTGGAAAGCAATCAGGACTTTTCGGAAGACCGCTTGCTGATTTCTCGATTCCTCAGAGATTCAGCAATATACCTGCAAAAGATAAGAGCGAAAAAAATTCAACAGGCGGTCTCTCAAAAATCCGCTGACTCAGCAAGCGGTCTTCCGAAAAGTCCTGATTGCTTTGCAAAAAATCCGCGAGCGGGGTGCGAGAAATCAGCAATCTATTTTTCCGGTGCCCGCCTGCCCCCAGCGATTGTCTGAGATAGGTACCCCCGCTTACGACCCCCCGTTGCGATAGTCGCATCACACGCTTGACCCTGGTCGTGACCCTTCGCTTTTGGTGCGGATGTCTCGAATGTTAGGAATCATCATCCATTGCCACGAAAGCAAACACGCATTGACTGTAACTGAACACCATTCAGTTCGAACACAAAGCCTAATTGTAGGTAGCTTGCAAAGTATAAGTCTGTGTGGTGTGTCTCCACACGTCGCATAGCATGTTGCTTACGAGTATTGTTAACTATTCTGGGGTGCTTCTCCGAAATAGCAGCGTTACTATCGGGTGATTAGCCTGTTGCTATGTCCGGCTACAAATGGTATTCGATCGACCTTGCTCATTCCTGAGAGTAGGCAGACTTGCAGTTCTCCACGCTCAAGCGTGGAAATTCAGACGATACGTTCGCAAACGTAGTGCAGAGCTTTCCCGAAATTTTGATATAGAAGGTTGCTTGCACCCCAAACATGAGAACAGAGAGGTTCGAGCGCACATCATGCTGCCCTTGCCTAGATAACTGCCCCTAAACACGTTACGCACAAGCCATTCTAATACGCGGAGACGAGCGCGATTGTCTCAAACCCGTCAGAGAAGGCATGCCGCAATGTTATAACTGCGAGGGTCCCGCGATTCTGCCTCTCTAACCATGGCAAGACGTGCTCCACTCGTCCAAATTCAGAATAGGGGGCCTCGGGAAATGATGGTTGTTGCCATTTTCGCGCTCTCTAAGATGGATTTTTGGAATCAACGCCTCGAATTACCCCAGGTAAGCAGAAAACTAGGATTTGCCGAGGCGGTGCGGGAAAATAGCTCGAGACGGCTACACTGCCAGTGAGACAAGGGGTAGCTACACCGTTCGATCCTGTACCTCGTCCGTTCTGCCGCTAATAGAACAGCGCTCACTGCCTCTAGAAAAGTGCTGAAAATGTTGCCGGTGTTGAAAGCTTGTTGGAAGCAAAAACAAAAGCGTCCATCTTTTTGTGTTTCAGGCCTTCTTTCCATTCTTTTCTTCCCCGACCGACCTCACCAACCTGCAGGATGGATGGAGGAAGAATGAGGCTGCATGATTAATGATTTCCACATCCAACACTTTCAACACCGGCAACACCTTCAACATCTGCAACACTGCCAAATTCTATTGTAAGAAAGCGTAGACAAGCAATACTATAAGCCGTTCGAATAGCTATTGACTGCTAGCTTCTGCACCTTCCTTTTCTTCATGGATTGTTGGCATTACCAGCTCATGAATCACCCATGCTTCAAAGAGGAGATGGACGAAATAGAGACTATACAACATATTTCATTTGGTAAAAGCAAGCTTAGACTACCTTTTGCTTTAGTCGTCCTATGGATTTAGTAGAGGGTTTTGTGCTACGAGTGCTCTGGAAATCACTGAGAATGCAACAGAAGCGAACACGAAGTGACGAACCGTTGAGACTGCAGTATTGACATTCTCAAACACTTCGCCTTCTAGCGCTCCTTCCTTCCGCATAGTCTCGCTTATGCTGGCTTTTGGCTTGTCGGGGATCGTGTCCTTCAGTATCTGAAGGCGTCATCACCATCTTTCGACACGTCTCAATAACGCAGAGCAACAACGTACCCTCTTTCTCTTGCTCCTATTCTTCTTCTTCATTGCGAACGGTCGATTGTTATGTCCCTACTAATAGAAATGAAACTGACCGTCCGAAAGATGTTTGTGATGAAAGCATTGTTTATTTCTTCCACTCAGCATTCAATGCACGGCGGAGGTCTAGTAGCTTTTTTGCTCAATATGTTGTGCTTACGTTCCGAGATGTTGTGGTGAAACTTGAGACTCGGCAGCAAGTTGGGTATTTTGTAAGTTTCAGCTCACAAGGGAATGGTCAGAAGTCGAAGTGGCCAAACCAAAGAAGCTGTATATCATTCGATGCAGTATAAAACGCTGACTTCGAATCTGTCTTCGTTATCTGCTTCCCGCTTCTGTGGGCGAAGCTACAAGCGGTTTTATTGTAAAAAATGTAAGCTAGCTGCATATTTTGGCCCAGCATTGAGGCGAGCGAGGCTCTGTACGGCTAAATTTTCAATTTCACGCATAATTCCTAAGCAAAATAATGGTCTTTAATGGCTTATAACTTCGTCCAGAAAAGTGATAAGCAGATAAAGAAAAAAGATTTAGAGTCAGCGCTTCATGCTGCATCTAATGGTATGCACCTTGACTGGATTGGCCACTTCGATTTCTGACCATTCCCTTGTCAGTTTAAGGGCCGGGCATACTCCAAGCGATTTCAATCGCGACGCGACTTGGCAATATTCCAGGTGTCCATAACTCATTGTGAGCACATTATAAACCAGTGCGTCACCTCTGCTTCGCAGAGGCTCGCACTGGCCCTATTTCCTGTATGCCTTACTCATTCCCGCATAATAATGACATTGAAACTCACCGCGCTATGTAGGCTATCACGAATAATTCGTAAACAACTACTCATTCGTAGAGGTTTTCCATGTGAGATCGGTATTTTCGCGTGGATAAAATCTATCCCAGAAGAACAGATGCAAATTCCAATAGGTTTTTGAAATTTTTGTGGCTTGGTAGTCGCCGTAAGGACAATAAACATAGTGGGCTACAGCGCTGTGCAAAAATCTTCTCAAATGATCAGGTAGAATCTTAAAAAATTGACCGTTTACACGGCGAATGCTTCTTGGCGCTGTTTTCGTAAAGTAGTAGAGTTTTCAATACTTTTTTAGGCTAACATCCATGGCTTGCACATTAGCTTGTCAAATATATCCTTAACTCTGCAAAAAGTAATACTACGGACCCAAATTTGCTGGCCAGAAGCCAAGTGGATCCATTTGACGCGCAATTTTCAATGGATCCACTCAACGGATCCGCTTATGCTTTTGTATAGTGAGCTTTCATGCTAGTAACGCGCGTTATTCAAAATTTGGGCTCAGGACGTTGGCTAGAACACGCTCTACGAATTTCGTGACAGACAGAGATTCAGACAGACAGACAGACAAACGTAAACAACCCTTAGCCCGTTATTATAAGTTATGATGTACAGAAGATAGGGCATTTCATCAGTTTGGGTAAGTTACACACTATGCATGTGCAGTTTGCTAATGTTGGATCCGAAGACTTCTGGCGAATTGCCAAATCGCGTCGCGACTGAAGTCGCGTGAAGCATGCCCGGCCCTTTAGGCAGCGTTCACGCGATTTGATCGTCGCGATTCAGTCGCTACAAGACAAGTGTTACAACATAATTCCATACCAATCAACTTGCATTCGGTTGCGATACTTTTCCAGCCCAAAATTTTTGAATGTAAAATGGAAATGAATGGAAATCGCGATGGTCAAATCGCGTGAAGTCTGTCCGGGGCCTTACGGATTCGCATGCCGATCTTCTTGTATTTCGGTTGTGCTAGTTAGTCACGATTAGCCGTGTTGGAAAAGTATCGCAACCGAAATGCAAGAAGATGACATGCAATGAACTCGCAACACTTGTCTTGTAGCAAGTGAATCGCGACGATCAAACCGCGTGAACTCTGTCCGAGGTCTCAGGCGGAAATTGGACTAGCGGGGGTCCGCTTCGCAACGTTTCGCGCCGCTTTGCAGTCTGCGTCTCTTCATTCTAATCTATCTCGCTGAACCAGTGGCGGTGCGGAGCGCTGCTCCACTTGAAATGCTTCGCCTATTTAGGGCTGAAAAAGACTGTACGTGCTGCAGGTCACTCACACAGAGCAGGGGTAGCAGAAGTTGTGGTGGGAACGATAGCGTCCAGGGTAAAAATCAGACAAGGATTCTGAGGCTACCTAATGGATATAAGAATTTTGCAGTTTCCTGTACAGACTGTAACTTTATCAGGACGCTCATTTTCGAGCTTTGGTACATGCTCGTTGTCTAAACGAATTAGAGAACTCACTACTGAGGGATATGGTTTGACTCAGCTCTGACGGATGCTCGTTGTCTTAACGGATTAGGGACCTCATTATACGGTATTCCTGTTTCTGGTTCTGCTTTTTGGAATACTCTTCTTCTCAACTTTATTCTGTCGTAGCTCTTGACATTTGAGCGCATAGTCACTTATGACTTCAACCGTACCAGGGTCAAGCAAGAGGTGTGGCACATGATCACTAGATTCGACCCCTCCCGCCCCCCAACCCCTAATTGCTGTCGCAATAAGAACCCTAATTTACTGAAAACCTAAGGCAGGCATGACACGAAGGCCCCACAAAACAAAATGAGTGATATATGCATATAGCAAGCAAATAACCCCTGTGGACCAAGTTTGAGCAGATTTTAAAGTCTGCAGATACTAGGCCACTAAATGAAATGGTCATTTTCGAACATGATTAGCTTTGTTTCGGAAGTGAACTGCTACCCCTTTCTGCACTCAGCAGAAAGCACTACTTCTTTGCCCAACTCAGAAATCCCGCTCCAGAAAATCGCCAAACTGTGGAATCGGAAGCAAGCCAAAATTCCGTGTGTCCCATTCTTCGCTTTCAATATCTCACACTAGGAAAAAGAATTAGGCTCAAATTATTGAATATAAGAGGTCCGAACTACAGAATATATGTATTCTTGCCACCTTCCTTACTCAGCACGTTACTGTAACCCAATATTTTCGCAGTTTTTTCCATTTGCACAGGTAAGGAAAAGCGATTATATCTTTCCCTAGAAAAAATGATTTTGAATGAAATTCCTACTGTGTAGAGAAAAAGGTTCAGGCAGTAGCGAAAATATAAAAAACGCGGATGTGCGAGTGCTCTGAAGGTAAGTTATTAAGGGTGTGGTACAACCCCCAAAAAGGAATAGCAGCCACAGTTTTCTGGGGTTGTGCCACACCCCATTAACTCACTTTCAAATCTCGTAGTTTTCGTATTTACTGCGTGAAATAGGCGCTTACACAAAGTCTGGAAAAATCCGATATTTGCACTTGTGGTGTTGTGGAGGTGGAGTGATACGAAATAGCATCATACATTTTAGACATTTCTGAAGAAGACCTATGAGCAGGACTCGGTGTTTGAGCGCAAATTATTACACGTTTTTCCTCTAGAGCCAATTTCCTCCAAAAGGCACGGATGCGGAGAACTACTTGTCTCCTGTAGTATCCTTGTACGATCTCCAAGATTCAGATATCCGGAATTTTCACGATTTCCATGTCTCTATGACACATATTCATCAACGGTGTCAACTCAAATTATTATCCAGCAACTCTTACGGATGAAATAAAAAAGGTGTTTACCAGCGACAAACTGACTGTGCCACATATTCTTACAGCCATTCTACATTAACGCCTAAGTGATGCTATGAATTCACCGATTTCCTTCACTTGTCGATTCCATGTAGTAATTTATCAGTTGTTTAGAGAGAATTATTTTACAGCTGTTGAATCAAGAAAATTGTTTGAGAGTTTTAAGACCAAAAAGCGCGTACAACAACCACCTCATAAATATCCTCATCGTTTGTTTATAACAAATACGCAAAAGCTTCGTTTGTTTCTCTTTCTGTTTTACAAGTGGCAAGGCTGTATTTCTCGATATGACCAGATACACAGCAGTGTCTACAGAGTTGGACACCTCCTGAGCAACATGCTCACTCAATGCTTTCCTCTTTTCATCAGATGACGAAAGATTTATAATCATAACAGGTCGAAGATTTGTACAACCCACAAAAACAATAAGAATCATGTATAGATGAGTCAAATGATAGTTAGCTAGAAAGCACCTCAATTATCAACCAATTATCAACAGAAAATACCACAGTCCAAGTACCCAAGGTTTTTAATTAGTGAAAACAAAGTATCTAAACAATCTACGAATGAAGATAAGAAAATGTCAATCTTCATCGACAAATGATATCGTTCCCGCGTTCTTCAGATATCGTTTGTAGCGCTTGTACCTGGAGGAAAGTGATCATTGACATCGATGTTTTGCAAATCTCCATACTAGACAAGCGTCTAATCTAGTGATTAAGGTGCTTATATGTTGGCTGGATTTAGACGTCATTTGTGACTGAGAGAAATCAGCTATGGATCGATTGGAACAAGCCTGAAGCTGATTTTCTCTGACAAGACAAAACCTTTAGGCTCCGACGACAAAGTATCTAGATATTGCAGTTAGTTTTATAAGCGCCTAGTCTTTACAAGACCCGAATCATGGTTTTAAGGAATCTTGGAAAGCAAAAATTGATGCAATACACAACGGACTGAAGTCAGAGGAAAGAGGCCACAATTTTTTGCTGACTCCAAGAACTAAGCGTAAGCTCAATCCTATTGAAAACGAATGAATGCTTGCCGAAGCTTGTCGTACAAGCTAAGATCTTCAATTGACATCAAAACACCACTGATTTCGAATATGTCATTGATAATGCAGTTAGTTTCGATGTCATGAACATAGAGTATAAAGCAGTGTATTCTGAAAATTCAGCGTTAACCCCTCCCATGGAATCTGAAATGATCTGGACCAAAGGAGAAAGGACTAAAGGCACCGTCCACCCAAACTGAGGTTGGTGAGATTATGATACCTAGCAGATGCGGGCCCCCAACTGTATGACTGCCCAACACACGCTGCCTGAAGTTGCTTCCGAACCGAGAAAATTGCTTCGGAAATTGCTTCAGGCCGCGTTCGCGACGCTGGCTCCTCCCCTTTCGGAATGGTCGTGACGTTCGTCCCGCCCATCCGTGCGCGCCCAACCAATCACCGGATCGCTCTGCGGGTTCTGAAAACGGGGTTTATCGTGGTTTTCGCGGATTTTCAACTTAATATTCGGGATCAGGGGTATGAGAAGGCCCTGGAACGGCAAAAACATGGAGGTCGAAATTCTGGGTGGATGGTGCCTTTAAAGGCAGCGGCTCGGCAGATTTTCATTCGGGGTTTTGGCAGATTTGGGGCTATTCCGGCCCCCTAAATCACGACATGAACTCTACTTAGCGCGGAAATGGGGAAAACCCCGTCTTTTGACCCACCTTGAGACGGGCGCGGACGAGTGAGACGTTTTTCTCTGCCGTCAGAGACGCAGAGTAAAGGGGTAGAGAGCGTTAGAACAATTCTGCCCTACGAAGCTACGAGTGACGGCGTGTTTTCTAGAGGAGAACATGCTCGTCCGAACAAGGTGTTAGGGGAGCGAAAGGAGGAAGGGGAGCCAGGATTGGGCCGCCCCCGTGGCTGGCAGAGTTCACCTTTCCGGCGCGGAGTTGCTGTTTTGGTTCATTTGAAGGGCCTCCTATCCATCTGTGTCAAAATCCGAGGTAGGTTCATTCTGCCGAGACGCTGCCTTTAAGCGCTTGAGAAGTTAATGTCATCCATCCCTAAGTAAATCTCGACAGGGGGAATGTGGTCCCAGCAAAAGTGATCGTTTGAACAATAAATCAAAAGCATATCCAACTATAAGACTTCTAGAGCTTATACACGTTTAGGTTACGCGAAACAGAGATCCTGTATTTTGGCTGTTCACACATCAGCCCAACTTGATCAACGCCTTTATCATAGGGCAAAGAGTGTTTTTGCCTGCTATCATTAATCCTGCAATTGTATTTCAATTTAGAAAGAATTTAATGATTAACAAAGGATTTAAATCCTGCTACTTTCTGTGCCTGACGACTTCTCAGCAACGCAGCATGATAGAGGTAGAGATATAGGCTGCTGCATGACGAAGGCGCAATATTTTTGGGCGCGAAAGCGGCTTTATTAGCCGCAGAGCAGAGACGCAGGATTTAATAAGGTATTGATACGCGCGCACCGTGTTCGCGCCTGTTCAACTAATGCCGCTTCTGCCCTTTGTCATGCAATAGCCTTTAGAAATTTCAGAAAGTGGATAATGCACGTTATTTCAATACTTTCTCATACATACAACGGACGATCACAAGCTAAACCTAGACGTTCATAATTATTCTCCACATTTCAGACTTTCTTTAACTCGAAACCCAGTGCAAGTTGATGATTTTTGGTTTCGTTTCCCTGATTTTCACCATGTGGTGAGAAATAGTAAAGAGCTTTTCAGCTGCGTCCTTATTGAGAACTCGAACTTGACTGGAATGATAGTGACAAGAAAAACGAGCGCTTAGGGTAGATAGGCTCAAACAAAATGGTCCACCTTCCACTTCGGGCAAGCTTCTCCTGCTCTTCAGCGTCTTTCTCGGCTTTCCATTTTTTGAAATTCTCGTCTATCCAGAGCTCCTGCGCCAGCATATCTTCATGTTCAGCTTCACTCATGCACTGAAACGTTCTACTAATTGTAAGTGACTAATTGACTCATGAAAATCCGAGAACATATTAGAAAAATAGTAATTAGGTACTCACGTTGAATTGGCTTTCACTAAGCCCAAGATATTTACGTATCAGATACAGCTTAGCGACTTCATCATACTCTTCTCGTTTTATCCAGTACTTAAACACCCATTTGAGGTACCAAACGAGGTAATTGTAAAGTGTATAAGGTAGAATGATACACTGCCACATAAGCGTATCATAAATTGATTCCTTCGCATAACCGCCTCTGAAATAACAGCTTGATCATCATTCGTGGGAGATCCGATGAGTACCTGACGTCCATATTCTCTTCGATGATGCTTCTTATAATGTCTTCATTATTCTTCCCCCTAATCTTCTTCAACTTTCCTTTGCTGTCTAATTCAAGAACCTAAAGCAAAAACCATGATGCAATCCAGCCACCGTTATGCTCATCCCATAAACATTCAATCTTTTGAAGTCCAAGACACTTCCTTATGAATAAATTCTGATGCCAACTTAGTATGTTATGAGTCAATCACACTAGTTATAAGAATTAGTTATCGATTGCTATCTTCAAGCATATAAAGTTCAGCAGAGATCAAGGGTGACCATCTACTCTTGCATTCAGCTCAGGCTTGATACAATGCTGGTCATAGCTACAGGGTGCGAAATAAGTACTGTCCCTCAAAATAAAGGCAAAGAAATCAGCGTAATATGCGGGGCTTTCTGGTAAATTTGACATGAGTCCTAAGATATGAGTGTATTCTAGCATTTTACAAAAACTGGCTTCAAAATTCTGCAATTTCACCCGGTGGCGGGACCTTTTTCGCAGCACATCTAATATATAAAGAATCGTGAGCGCAATTCAAAAATGTGCACATAGCGGGAAACCACGTAGCGGTCCCGTAGCGCGCGCATGCTACTAGCACCTTCGATTGCTGGTTCACTAGTCTCATATCGAATCTTGCAATCTAATATATAAAGAATCGTGAGCGCAATTCAAAAATGTGCACATAGCGGGAAACCACGTAGCGGTCCCGTAGCGCGCGCATGCTACTAGCACCTTCGATTGCTGGTTCACTAGTCTCATATCGAATCTTGCAACTCCCTTTAACAAATGTGAAAAAAGTGTGAAGTTTTTTGGAAATTTCTTTTGTTTCCACCGTCGATACAAGAAATCTCCTATTGGTTAAGGAATGTTATAGTGTCTTCGAAATATGCTGGAAGTAGTCAGACCGCAGCTGCAGTAGGAAAAAAGTTGGGAAATTTTCCAACGAGATAGCGTCTGCGGCGCAACAGGGTGCGATCAGAAAACGCGGCACAGAAACCAAGTACAATCTTTTCCTGATCCAAATTATGTTGTAGACAAAGTCCGATGTTTTTCTTTCATTATTCCTGTTACTTTTTGTTTCAATCTGGAATTTTAAGCCATAGTTTGGGTCAAATCCCTTGAGCAAGAGCAGATCTGATTAGCCTCTTTTTCGAGAATTTTTGCGATTTGCGTATTTGATATAATTTTCCTTATTTAGCCAAAACAAGAGTCACCAATCTATAATTCATCTATAATGGGTATAGAGTATTGGAAAAGAGGTCATGCACAACATACCAGCTTAATTTGAACCTTACATCAATGCTGGTGGTGTAGCTACGGTCCAAAATTGCGCCTGTATGCTATCGGCGCATCGTTAATGTTCTTGCGCGCTGTTATCGCCCGTTTAAACGGACAGAAGGGAATAGTTTTAAATCAAACTTATCTTTATTTAATCTAGAGGATCTCGCCTACGCGCGGGAATCAAAAATTACAGATTTGCTTCATGTTTGAGGTATTTTAGGAGCCAAGTTGGAGGGACAGTATTTTTTCCGCACCCTACATATAGCCACCTTAAAAAAGTCACGGCAATTCGCCCTTTCTTGGATGTAATTGTTTGCAAAGTAATATTCTGTGTGTGAATCAACGCCCAGAACGACTTAAGCCCATCTCTTATTTCCAAGCAATACTACATTCTTTGCACATAGATTTATTTGTACAGTTATAGCAGCGAATTCTGAAACATTTGTTACACCTGGAAGCTGTAGCGGTTAGAAAGAAAATTTATGCTGCTTTTCTTGCTTCAAAAATGCATAAAAAGTCACATTATTTTAGAAAACCGCTGGTTCATTGAATTTTCAAGCGCTTATCTAACTCGAATGAAGGCATTAGGATTTGCTGAGCCTTTGCAATGAACGCAGTGGAGAGCGCTTGAGTCAACTTCGCGGGGTGGCGAGCAAAAATAAGGTGTGATAATTAGCTGGAAATACCAAAATAGGGTCTCAAAAGTGAAACTTCCAGTATTTCAGGCTTATTCCTGCAAGAACATCATCGAACTGCAAATACCACCGCGATCTGAGCAAGACTTATTAGGTAAAATAAGTAGAGCATTAATTTCATATCTACTATTTTTTATGAAAGCAAATACTGCATTGGCACTAGCGGCTGCCAATCGCCAAACAAGTTATCACACGTCAAATCGATACGTATCAAACGTGTAGTCGCCGATACTGGCGATCGATTACTATCGTTCCTCTTGCACCACACCCAACATTGCGTAGTCGCTGATACTGATGAACGATCCCTTTTTTTATTTCGGAGGAGCCATGGAGAAAAAAATATAATGGTCAAATCGACAAATAAGCCATAGGCTACCGCAATTACTACCTCATGTCTTCCAACATGCAAGTGGGTAATACAAAACATGAGTGCCTGCGTTAGGCCTCGGACAGAGTTTACGCGATTTGATCGTCGCGATTGCCGCGAGTTTCATTCATTTTCAATTTACATTCAAAAATTTCGAGCTCGAAAAGCATCACAACCGAAGTGCAAGCTGATCGCCATGCAATGAACTCTAACAGTTGTCTTGTAGCGTTTGGTATACACCAAGCGGTACCACAACGGGTATAACTGTTTTTAGATAGTAGCGGAGCAGCCGCTGACTATTAACAGTGAATATGCGGAACAGCCGCTGAAGATAGTGGTATTACTCGAACCAACACCAGAACTGAGTATTCAGGCCCTTTTATGCCACTATTTTGGGCGTGGATCACCTGAATGCTCACTTCTGGCAAATAACAGTATCATACAGAATCAAGGATTGCCTACATGAAAGTAGGCGCCGCCAAGTAGACTATCAAGCACAGTGGAGGGGTGACCTGGCGGCTTAAGTGGTCAGTGAACAGTAATATCTGTCAACGACAAACTAGTGGATACTGAATATAGCATACAGTATGACTCTACAATGGTAAAGGTCGTAGATTCGCAAATAATCTACGACAAAGCTATTGAATCGCGACGATCAAATCGCGTGAACTCTGTCCGAGGCCTTAGAAGCTGATATTTTGACACCGCTGATCTGTTTGGATAAGCTCCTGCAGAACACCCGAATAGTTTTGGTGGATAGCATATTCTTTTGCTCAGACTCCTCATGAAGGCTTTACAAGTGAAGGTTACAAAGATGAGATGTAGATCAGTAGACGCGCCTTTAAACGCTGATTCCAAATCTGCTTTCCTGAGAAGTTATGAACGTTTGAATGTTCAAATTTGTCAAGGTTCAGGTGACCTAAAATTGGCGAAAAGCTGTACAAAAACACCGGAAGTGGAAAATTAGTTTTGTATCGAGTATATTGTTTGCAAGGAAAAAACAAAGCCGGTGGAAAGCGAATAGGTATTGTTTTGAAGCTTTCCGCTGATTTTAAAGGCAGTGTCCTGGCAGATTCGCGCCCTGGGGGATATTGTGCCATGTGGAGTTCTTCCTGGTCATCCCACTGACCTCCAGGCAGTCCGGCTGGTTACTCTTCCCTCTGTGCCGAAAAAATAGCCCTTGAACCGGCACGGGCAACCCCAATCGGCGCGCGCTAGGACAACTTCGCTTGCCATTCGGCCGGAACCCCAGGACCGCTCTCGCGTGTTGTGCATGCTATCCAAAGCAAAAATTACAGGCAGCAGGGTCTTCCCCAGGGCCTCTCGACTTTCCATTGAGATTCTCGTCCGAGCTGCCTTTTGAAAACTGGGTAAACGCCCCGAAAAAGGTCTTTTCACCCGTTTCAAAGCTCATATTCGGGGTCTACGGGTCGAAAAGGCCCAAAATATGCAAAAAGATGGAAATGCAAAATCTGCCGGGACACTGCCTTTAAGCCACTCAATGCTTGGCAAACTTGGACATTCAAACGCTCATAACTTCTTCCGGAAACCTATTCCGCAAAAAAAAAGCAGATTTGGAATCGTTCAGATTAGGAAGCGTTCAGACACGCGTTTAATGATATACATCCCATCTTCACGCTGGCTAATGTTGGTATCCTTCCCTTATTGGAGGGTGACGTTCAACTTATTACAAGATGAGAGCAAACATACTCGAAAACCACTCGCTTTCTTTCTCAAAATCTCTCGCAAAATTTTGGTTGAATTGTTCAAAACCTGCAAAAAATTCTACAAAGGTCAACATTTCTTCAGAAAGAGATCACCCAGAACTACTGCACAAAAATAAAACACTCAGCAGGGTCTCGGTAACAAAACCCGGCTAGGCAGATTTGGATACAAGTATGAAACTTTCCTCAAATCCCAAAAAGGGTATCGTAGACTTCCTTGGTACTTTTTCGTTATGCGGCCATTTTCGGCTGAAGTTATGAGCGTGTATCTTACATGCAAATGGCGTCCGCACAGCATTTTGCATTTTGGACAACATAACAGTGACTCGGTTTTTTCCAAAATCTCTTTCTAAGGATGTTTCTAGCTAAACATTCCCAACACTCTACCGAAATACAAAGTCTCATCTCTCAAAATATTGCCCCAATTCATGGATTGTGGCAAAGAAATGTCGCTACAGAGCGTCATTAACAAAACCTGTTTCAAGAGTTTTCATACCCTGGAGACTTTCTTGAAAGCTAAGGGCCGCTTACAGACCACTATTCACAAAAAGATGCCCTAAGATTCTAGAGGTAAATCACTCTCAAGGCACTAATCCTGGGCGAATTTCTCAGACGAGGTGTCGGTGATTTTCAGCAAGAACAAAACGTCTACAAGGCAAAGAGATGTATTTGACTGAAAAACAAGAGATTGCTAATAAGACTGATGACTTCATTTCGGTGATAAAAGAGGATATGTAAAAAAGCGGCAGCAAGGGAGTTGATACCAATGAAAAGTCGGTGCCTGTGATAGTCTATAATAGCGACCCCTACAGAACAACACACTCCCTATGAAGAGATTTTTGTGCACAACAAAGAATCTAGAAACGGCGATGAATAAGACGAACTTCACAGCGGTTTAAAGTTAAAAAGAGCCACTATTGCAAGCATGACAAACTAGCTGACTGCTCTTTAAAACAGGAAGTGATGGACAGATCACTGAAACAGCGTAAGAAAGACATTCGCATAAGGAGTAGGAACTGAGATGATGGCTGATTTCTGACGTTTTCAAATGCGATCAACAAAATCTTTGGAATGAAATAGATACACTGGGAGGGGTAAAGAAGAAGAGTGAAAAAGGGACAGCATTCTTGTACATTTTGTTTCAGAAGCCTTTCTGGTAAACATGAGTTGACCAAAAAATTTTTTGAAAGCTGCTTCATGATAGCGCTAAATGCTGCTATCTCCCAAGCTATACTGCAGGGATGATTCTGTGAAAGTTGACAAACATAAAATCTCATTCAGTGTACTATGTGGGTCATAATACATCTACTATAATATGTTATCAATTAGATATTCTGAAGAGAAGTCAACAAAACTTTGTTGATATGAAAAACAGAACTCACTCCTCGCTCAACTCCAGTACTAATGGCAATATTCCGGAATTTTCCAACAGTCATCGCATATGATATCGCCTCAGAATATTTTTGTTTTGCACTGAAGTACTGTAAAAACCATCTTGAGTCCATGATAAGTCCTATGCATATTCGATGCTTATCAGGAGCGGTATTTATCAATCTCCCACTCGCTATTCGGGCCACTGTTAAGATAGTCCGAAGGGCGAGAGCGCCAACCTGTGATTTATCAAGTGGTCCGATCTGGCAAGTTTGGCCATGTCAGGCACGGCAGTCGGGCAGCAGATCCCGATCTCGACGGGTCGGGCTCCGCTGCCCGACTGCCGTGCCCGACATGGCCAAACTTGCCAGATCGGACCATATTCTTCAATAGACAGGAGCCCGATCACCAGCTTGGCTTCATATACCGCGGGCGCAATTGCCGTGTCTGTACGGTCTGTTACCTGTACAGGAACCCCTTCCTATATAGGAGGTTGATAAATACCGCCCCAGATGACACTTCTGCCTACTCAGGTAACACTCTCAGATACTTTGTTAACAAATGTTCTACAAGATACGGAGACTCTTTGCGCATTTACTAGTATTACTACAAAAATAATGAGGAGTAAGATAGCTACCTGAAATAACGAAATGCAGAAAATTGTGCCCAATATCACCAATCGAACGTCCACTTTAGGAATAACCCGTCTACGATAATATTGGTAGTAATTGTAGAATCTGAACAGTGAGAGTTCAAATTATCGATCTGATTAAGTAAATAAAATAAAGAAGGTACAAACCTTTCTTCAGGGTGGTCCAGGTAGTAGTCATAATCTGTACGAGTCTGTTCATCTTTCAAAGTTTCATAAGCAGTAGCAATGACGCGAAAACGAGCTTCTGCTTCAACTTTAGCAGCCTAGATGGATCATACAAGCGATAACAGAGTTGGAAGAAAAGAACGCCCACCTTGTCCTTTACCCTGTCCGGATGGTACTTCTTTGCAAGATTTCTATAAATCTTAGATAGTTTGGATCTGTCAAATTCGTCCCTGTTTATTTCCAGTACTGTAATGTTTAGGTTATGTTTGAGTGGATTGAGAGACACTAAGGTCCAAACTGTGCAAAGGCGGTTCTTTTATCGTTATGGATTATATAGAATGATAATGTTTTCGAAAAATCCGGTGAATTGTAAACCGTTGTGCGATAGAAGTTCAGGCTTTATTTGATAAATCAATTCAAAGCTTCGATAATACATCACAAAGGTATCTCATAAACAAACGCATGAACGAAAGCTTTGGTATATTGTATAGCTTTGGTATATTATAATTTTGGTATATATTTTAGGTAATTATGAATAGAATACAACGCTCTGGACAACAAAGAGAATTTTGCGATGATAGGGGTAATAGGTATTTGTTTTTGATAATTCAATTGTCAACGCGAACAGCGTTTGCGTACTTTCAGACATTGCGCCTCTAGGCAATTTCTCATCGGCTCTGCCCCAGAACTGAGCCGTCTAATCTGTCTAGCCTACAATCCAAGAATCTTGCAGGTAATCACGTTGTTAGACAGATGTAGAACAATCAAATAACCATGGGCAATTGACCAATTTTTCAACTATCTCGCACTCAGATTCCAAAACTTTGGGAAGGCAAAGAGTTGAAGAAAAGACAAAAGTGCAAAGAAAATAGACAGAAAAACCAACCATCGTAACAGTTCTCCAGTCCACAGTACAACTCCTCAGCGAATCCGACGGAAAGCACAGGTTCGCAAAAATACAAGAATATCAGGATATGTGCATGAATTCTGCCGAGAAGGTACATCAAGTACAAGTCTAAAAAGAACCTCTCAAAAAAGTCTCAAAAAACACCGAAAATGCAACTAGAAGGCAAAGCGATAGACGTTCAATACACCGAATAGAATACGGACGTCAAGCGTCAACGATTGACGCTATGCTCACGACCACGATTAAGAAGGTTATCAAGAAGAAAAGCAACGACGAATGTCAGTGCATTGTTCTCGGTGCACCTGCGCCAATTCTCGGGACACCTATCGGGTTCTAGCATCTTTGGATCCGGTTTCTAGGAAGATGTGGCGGCTTCGGGACTACTAGGAGCTCGAATTGGAATTGAACACGTAATCGACATTGCGCGTAACCGTTCAATATAATCCAGACTCTCCTTCTGCTTTATTTGCTCGTATTTTACTATGTAGTCCTTGTCGACATAAATTAGGCAAATAAACATAGCGAGGTATCATTCGTACGATGCTACAGCAGACTAGGATTCACGCCTTCATTGCATCGCTTTTTCAACTCGTATGCATGTTGAACGTGGAAACATTTGCTTGGACAGATATACTTTTCCTTTATTTAAGGTTCTATTTGTTTGTGCTTATCTGAACTTCATCTCTTTCAACCCTCTGATGTTCGGAAGATAAATCTCTTGGGATTATGTGCCCTGGAGTGTTGTGTGAGAGTTTCGTCTTCCATTTGAAGTTGAGACTGCAAATCTTTTACATAATCTGAGGATCCTATCTGAATTTACTCAAATGTAAGAAAGTTCAGTGCAAAGCGGCTGGGTACTGATTGCTATTACCAGTCATTTCCTTCTTATTTCTGAGGGATTACGTTAGAATTTTTTATTCACTTTTGCGACTCTATAACCGAAGAGATCTAAACTCTCTCCGTGTAGTACTACTTTGACCGCAGAAATTGACCCCAAACAACCTATAGCATCTTGTGATTTTTCAATAAAAGCCCAGTTTAAATGGAAATTTTAGTAGACGTAAACAACGCATACTCACTGTAGCACCGTCAGAGCAAGTTGGGATATATGGTTGGTTGCTATCCTTCACCTCCAATCTCCCGTAAAATCTTTTTGATGCACCGATACTAACATCGAAAACAGCATGCTGAGGAACCCCACACTACATTGCAGGGAAATTGCGGCAAAATTTGCGCGTGAACAAACAGCCACGCCAGTAATGCCGACAATTTGCGCGCGCATTTGGCCAGACTAACACGATTCAACGTTGGCAACATGCAGCAACATGTTGACGTGGCCAAAATGTTCTGCCAACATGTTATGGCATGTTGCAAGCATGTCGTTGCCACGTTGCAACATGTTAGCCACAAGTGGCAGGTCTGAGTGAGACGCAGACCAAGGGTAACACGAGCTGTGGAGGGGACTGTAGATATCTACAGTCTACTCCAATCGGGAGCAGGCCGAATCGTCGGTGTAAATTTGCGCGCTCGCAGCGCTAGCGGTCTGCGCTGCATATGCGCGCTGTCCGAAAGAACAAAAGGATTGAAGAGAGAGCAGAGAAGCAGACCATGGGCGTGACCGCAAAACCCTAGCGACGCGGACTCCCGCCATGCCAATTTTGGCCTGGTGGGATTGGGACAGACTGTAGTAGGTACATTACGGCAATTCCCAAATCTTGTGCTTTCGAAACTCTTCGGTGAGGTGGCACGGCGCCATGTTAGGGGGTGGGGGGGGGCAGATGCACGACTCGATGCCATAAGTAAAATTTTGTAAAAAGTAGCAAGAGCGACTTTACACTGCTTGCATTTTGCGCGCATTGTCGCCTTCCGCGTGCCCCCCTCCTATTATTACGTTTAATCTCGTTGTAGTAGTGTGTGGAGCAGTTGTGGCGAAGAATAACGGCCAGCGTGTTCTGAGGTGTCGGGATTTTCTTGCAAACACATTCCAATTATGGGCGACTGAGATCGTCCAAAATAGACTGCACAAAAATTAAACCGTGCAATGCGGCCTGGAGCGCAACTAAAGTCGCTCCTATCTCATTTCCTTGTTTCTCAGTTCTCATACGTGACATAAACGGTTTGTAAACGTTGAAACTAAATAATCAACTGTTCATAATTTAGAAAAAAGATGGGTCACGGACACCACGAACCTTTTCAAATCCCCAACTATTCGATATATAACAACTACAAACAATTCCCTGAGTTGGCGGCTCATGAAAAGCGACTGGCTCAAGTCGGCCTCAAGGATCCTTGGATTAGGTGAGTGAGACCAGGTTTAACCTCAATCTGTTTTTGAAGTATTCTTCTATGTTCTCTTTATTCTGCTTTCAATAATAATACGATAGCAGGTGCATCTTAAGCCTTGTTTTCATAATGTACTTATGCTTTGGATAACTCGCTGTCGAATAATCTGACTTTAGCACCTAAAGGTGTCTGAAGACGGGACAGAAGGAAACTCATTTAAGTTACCCATCTACTCTAAGTTGCGAGAGATTTAGAGATTTGAAACTTGTGTTATTATGCGAAAGAACCTCTGATTGATGCTGCTCGAGATAACGTTTTGAATGTAATCGCCTCATCTTCATAAAATCCAGTATGTAAAAGTGAATCTTCTTTGAGATGTGTATGTAATAAGCTAAGCAAATTGCAACGAATGAGACCTTGACCTGGGTCCCATATGTTTACTGTTGTCGGAGATATAATATATTATTTTTGAACGACATGATTGGTGGATCTTGACTATTCCTCATTTACAGTTCTCGTTCTATAGGCTTTCTCTAGCTCATGATTGCAGGAATTATGTGTACATGTATGACCGTGAGTATCCTCATGTTCGTGGGCAGTGGAACCATTTCAAGAGGGTAGGTTCTTTCGTGATTATACTTTGCAGGTGGTTTTGCATTGTTTCTTTTTCTTGTGCTTGTACCTAGCTTATGCCGCAATTTTTCGAATTTATTCTAAGAATTATGATTGCTTTTTTCCATTATGTTAACATCCATTTTCTCTTGATCCGAGCTTTCTTCGTGGTCTTAGCTAGCTTAGAGAGGGCGAATCTGAATCCTTTTAGCGAAATCGGACCAATCGAACCAAAACCAGCTTGAGAAGTGATATCCTTTTGCAAAAGTAGTGTCTTTCTAATCTCGGAGTTTGTGTGTTTTAGCTGGTCTTTCCTGGATGGAAATTGGGCGTTGGAGTTGCAGTGGCCATGATTGCGATCGAAGAAGGTTATCAATATTATAAACATGGAACGACGTCATGGGATGCTCATCATTGAAAATGACTACTGTTCATATTTATAGGACGATAAATAGTTCTAGCTCATTGCGTTATCATCTATTGATAATCTGAATTGTGGCAATGTGCCCCTAACGTATTGTTGGTTTTTGGAAGAGAGCTTTTGTTTTTATCTATCTCACCTTACTGTCTTGTATTGAAGGGTTTATGTCAGCCCTTGAAGCTTTCGTAAACGAACAAAAAAAGAAAGCTAACACGACTGGCATAAGTGGTGGGCTTGGATCGGCGTCCTTCAGTTCTTTCAGCGATTTAAGGAGCAAACTATCGTCCTCTTTGAGGTAAGAGTTTTGTCTTCCTCAGAGATTTTCGCTATTTTAAACCATCTTGGCAATAGATTGTGAGATGTTGTTGTCGAAAACAGGGGTCAAAACTCGCAATATAGTCTAGATTCCGGGTATGTAGAAAGGCCACATGCTAGTATGTATTGTAGGCGACTGTAGTGCTTGGCACAATATGGTCGCTTTGGTGATCAGATGCAGTGAACTTGAAGTGCTGCAGGTGTAGAATTCTCCACTTATTTCTCGGTCTTCACCGTAGCCAAGTCAGCTATGTTCTTTATCGCAACATTACGAATAGCTGGGGATTGTTTATTACGAACGTATAGTTGCTAGTTCTGCAGAAGCTACCAGACTATCAGCTGTTAAGGCAAGGCGACGCAAGGAATGAGAGATTTAAAAGTGGTTGAAAATTGTTTACTGACAGATAGGTCTGCTTCATATCTTCTGTTTGAGAAGTGCGTTGCTTCTGTTGTGCAGCATTGTGATTGTCTGTACAAGTGCCTGCTGTTCTTTGTTTATGTCTATCTATATTTACGCTTTCGTAGGTGCGCATTCCGAGCTCACACGTTTCCATATAATTTTATCATTGAATCCAGCTTGTTCTGACCATTTACGGAGTATTTAGCATAGCAGCCGCCATCTTGGGGAATTTACCATATCCTAGCTATGTTTTTTTTTTCGGTCTAACTTTGGGTGCCTAGTCACAAAGTTTTATCCAAAAATTTCTATTTATCAAGCCACCCAATGTCATCCATTCAGCGGCCTTCCTCTCCTCTCGCGTTCGGAAACGGCAGATTCTCAACCACTGACTGATGAAGCGAGCGTAGACGGACAATTGCCCAATGCAAAGAACAGGTGCGAGCCATGAATTAGTTTCGAAGAAATTCATATTTTTCAGAAAAAATGGAGGGTGGTTCTCATCTGGTGATGAGAGCTTTTTTGGGATGTCACGGACACAGCGCATATTCGCTTTCTTTCTTTCATTACTGGGTGCACTCTTCTGTTTCTCAACGGTAGGTAAATGCAGCATCGCTACATTTTTTTGTGATTTACCTCCTTGCTTTTGTCGTTCTGATCCATCTTTTCAATCGATTTCCATTAAGCCAGAAGATTTTCGTTGCAATCTCTAAACGGTTAGGGCTATTCCTAGGTTTTGCCTCACTTGTGTATTGGCGTAGAGAGCTTGCATTCTTACAGCTTGAGTCCTTTTCGCGCTTTTTCGGCACTGCGACGGATCAAGAGCTTGAGCAATCAATGTTGTGGTTATGAAGATTATTACTTTAATTTGCTTGAGCAATCAATGTTGTGGTTATGAAGATTATTACTTTAATTTAACTTCAATTTTCTTTATCACGTAATCCATCTCAATCGTTTGCACAACTTGTGCGTATCGCTCTTTGTCTCGAACTAGAAGTGCCAAAAATTCTCCTGACACCGTTGTATGTAGAACGCAGGCACAGTCATTATTATGAAGAGAGGTGAAAATTGGAACTTTTGCCTTTTTCCAAAGCATTGGGATTTTTCGGTTTTCAGAGTTCTGAAGACCGTTTTCACATCTGCTGCTTTGATGCAGTTTTATGCTTTTTAGTGATTGCAAAGTAAAACTTCTTGCTAGTTTTGTAACAGCACTGCAGCAGATTAGGTGCAAGCAATTTTGGCATACTCTGACATTTTTGCATATTCTCCACTTGTCGCGTCATCCGGAGTTCTTTGGAATCCATTGAAAGTGGTCAGCAAATCATGTGAAGTAGCATTCGCAAAAAATGCTTCTAGTTTTGCTTGCGGTGCTTTTCTCTCCTCAATCAGTAACCTATCTGAAATAGTATCTCTGCGCGGTGTGATTTTTACCAAACTGTTCAGCCTTGGACAGCGTTAAGCTTGAGTCATCCACCACCCAATCTCGAATTGCACTTCCTTCTTGCATGTTCAAAAACTATTTTTTCTGTAAAGTATCCTGGAATCCAATTCTTGTTTATGTTTTCGAGAGGAACTAGTCTTGTTTTGACAATCATAGCAGTTCAACTTCGCTTCTTACTTTGTGTCTGCGATTGGATTACTCATCTCTCTGTTTTGAAGCCGTGATTTTTTCAGCACGCTCTTATCTGATTATGTGGCATTTTTTGCTGAATATTCGCGACAAATCCGCTCCGGAAGTAGCAAAGTAGGCGGGGCGATCATGTTCGCCCCGCCCACTTGCATGCTTTATCTCGCCTGCGCTTGTTGCAAAGGGTTTTCGAAACAGGGTTTTTTGGGGGTTTCGCGGATTTTCGACTCCATATTTGGAATCAGGGCTTTCAGAAAGCCTGAATGCGACAAAAACATTCAATTCGAGATTTTGGGTGGACGGTGCCTTTAAGCAGATGATATTTTACGAGAAGCAAACTGGGGTGATTCTATTGCGACGTAATAGTACAGGCGCAATTTTTTCATCTTATCGTTACTCTACGTACCTACAGTGCCTTACTAAAGGGGTCGCGAAATACTCGAGAGTTACTCACATGTATCGCAACTATCGTGCATTCCAGAATTGTTCCCATATGAGCCATCAACGTGGCTGCCTTTTGATCGTTTAACGTTTAACTCCAGCAGGTTTAAGGCGCTTAGTGGAAGTTAACGTTTTAAGACGATCGAGCAGCCACGGTGTTGGCTCATGTGGGAACAATTCGTGGGGATGCAATATTTGCAAATGACTTGTTTCTATTTGTAAGAATCAAAATAATTTTTGAAATTTTTAAGAATTTGAATTAGCATTGTAAAAAAAATTGTTTGCGTGGGCATGTTGCTGCCAAGCCATCTTCTTCTAAAGCTTCGGGGTTATGGGCTGCAAAAGTTATGAAAAACGTCCCAAATAAATTTTCGGTGTGCGTGACGCTGACGTCACGCACCTCTCCCCACGAAAATCGTGGTTCGCCACTACCTGTCGAACTGTAGTTCCTTTTTGATGCTACTTAAAAAGTAAATATTTGCATCAAGTTCAGGCTCATCTGACATGAATATTCGAACGCTTTCCGAGCCTGTCATGCTCAGTCTGCTCCTTTACCTGTAGTTTCATAAACATATCAAGTGGTCTTATAAAAAAATTTCTTTACGATGGTAATCAGCTCAAAGACAAATATCTTTGTGAATGTCACATCAGTGCTTGAGCAGGAATTACCCTGTAGTGGTTCCACAATCTTTGGTGCCTCAGAAATTCACTTTTGCACGATTTGAGCAAAATCTTGCTAGGGCTGAAAATCCCAAATGCAGATAACTAACTTGATTTTAGCTTGCCAAGTAGGCGAAATTTGTCTGTATGTGCTGCAGTTCCAGTTTTTTGAGAGCGGGGCACTGAGAGCTTTTTTCGAATAATGGATTGTGGCGATAACCACCTTTTTTGATTGCTTTTTAAGGCTTAGTTGGAAGTGTCAATCTAACGTGAAACTTCTCACATTCAATTTTCTTGCATTTACTTTCTTTAGATCTGTGAGCGCTTATTTCTACAGGATGAACTAATGCTTTTTGTGAATATCTCAGTTGGTCGAATCCTCATCTGTCATTCAGTCTTTCAAACTGAGCTGCGGACTTCTTGAGATGCAAAAAAATTAATAAATTGGAGGATTTGAAGACTGAGTGGTTACGACCGCTGTGATAATTTATATTTTGGACGACTTTGATATTCACCTTCATTGTGTATTGACATATTGACAGTTCTCTTTGTTCATATTTGAACAGAATTATAGTTAATCGCTTCTCGTAGTTTGCGATTCAAGCTTGTTTTATTAGGTTGGCACATAAGTTCTGCAACTCTTCCCATAACTTCTTTCTTAATAAATATAGCACTCTCCTTTTTTGGCATCGTATAGAGTATGGCTTAAACTGCAAGCCTGCGCAAACTGTTTGATTTATGATGACGTAGTAGAAAATATTTATGCATCTTTCAAAAATCCTTGAAGATCGAGGTTTCCCGGTTATTTGGCAAAGATGAAGCCGTGCAAAACCTGAATCAAACATATCAAAAAGGACTCATAGGCAGCGTGTAGCCAGAAGATGACACATTAGAATCGGTAAATATGAAGTGGAATTCAAAAACAAACGAACATAAGATAAGGCGCCTTTGAGAAGTAGAACAAGTCAAATGCGTCAGGTTTTGCGGGCAATCTGTCAGTAACTAAGCTGCGAAACCTCAAAATTCGCTAATTTTTTGTACAATCCAATTCGGTGACCACGAATATCATATTTTTTAATCGCTAAGATAACATTCATTTTTTGGCCTTACGAAGAAGGCCCTTTCATGCTAAACGGGTCTCATTTTTGTGATCAGCGTGTCAAATAACCCCCATAGGCCAAGTTACAGCAAAATCTGGTGCAATATATAAATTTTCCCATTGTACCATAAACCTACCGTAACCCTTGCATAAGATGGCAACATTAGGCAAAAATGTCCGCATTTGCAGTTTACATCATAATTTTTATATTACCAGGCAATGAATGGGCTACGTTCAAGAAGGTAAAAGTTATATAAAAAGTTGCATTACTTATGTGCCAACCTGATACGTGCATTTTTGATTCGTATCTTTCTCATTTTGAGGCTATATTGCACTTTCTATGAGCTCTTAGTTATTATTATTCATAGTATAGGGGAATTTTTACGATCGATCAATCAATCAATCTTTGTATGTGCATTAAAATTTTTTCCATTGGGCTATATATAAGAGCAGAAGGCCTGCATTGCAAACCTATTACAGCGCCAGTAGTTTCTGCCAAGAAACAAGGACACTTGCCTTACCGGTTTTCGTGGCAGCGTTATTTTTTTTTTCACGGAAGATGGGAACAAAGTTATGTAATCATCGGGAGAGCGAAGGGGATCTTCCGCCATAAGCCATCGTATACGTAGTATGTAGGTACAACACGTGCATAATCAGTCAAGAAGTTGTCGAACTCGGCCGAAGTTCACCGGAGTGCGGCGACTTTCTTGGCTGATTATGAACGGCATTGTATAGGGCAGATAGACAGTAGAAGGTCAGTTTGCTTAATTCTGTGCGTTGCTTCCAATATGCCCATAAAGCCGTTCCGACTTTTGAAGATTCTGAAGTAATGGATTCCAGACTCACAGCACAACGAGCACAAGCGCTTTGGGAAATTTGCGTTAATTTTAAAGAAACTTGAGCGCAGATGTCAATACTGCTCGTATTTTGTGAAAAAGAAATCACCACACTCCGCCGGAGTTCGCCGAACATCGATTGTCTCGCCGTATCCTGCTTCGGAGTGGAGAGTACTTAATCCAAAAACACCATTCAACACAGCTCGACGAGATGCATCCTTTGATATATAGAAGTATCGTTTATTCGTTGACCGTAACGACTGCTGACCGCGCGGCGACCGCTGCGCGTGCATAATGTTTTCGTAGAAAAGATGAATAGAAAGAAAACAGAGGAGTCTTCTCATCTTTATAATGTAGAAAAGAAACAAAGAATTCTTCTCATCTTAAGCCACAGTCCAAATTGTCACTTTTTCGCAAGTTTAGAAGGCACGCGTTGCAGTCGCCACGCGGTCGGCAGTCCGTACGGTCAACGAATGAACGATACCTGTTTGGGCACGATAGTCGGTGAAATTTTTAATGAACCCCCAAATTTTTGTGGGTAGGTTTCGTTGTGCAGTGTTCCAGCCTCTGAGTAACCTACCGTGGGCAAGAATCTGGAAGGACAGGCACTTCTGTGAGATTCGCCCCCTTCGAAGCAAGATATGGCATGCAACCGAAATCCGGCGAACTTTGGAATGCGATGATTTTTTTCACAAATCCCGAACGGTATTGTACTCAATTATCTTTCGATCCACCGAAAAGTGCTGTTTGAAGGGTTTTAAAATCGTCTTTCAGCACAAGATCACTGAACGGTGAGGGATCAGTGAAGGTCGATCATCGCTTTCCTGAAGTACGCTGACTATCAAAAGATTTAAAATTGTCCAACAGCCTCCATATTGTCGGTAGATTCTGCTATAGTCCTTGATATTGTCATGCCTCTAGACAAATAAAAATTAGACAGAAAAGCTAGCCAAAGTCTTGATTTTTATTTAGCATATACGATTTTGTCGCATCTTATCAAATAGCAGTGAGGAACCAGTGACTGCTGTTTTTTGAAGGTAGATGGGAGATCGAAGAACAACTCCTGCCATACCATTATTTTTGAATGCGTCATAGCAAGTCCCAGATGGCATATCAACAAACTTTTGTGAACAACTTAATCTGCAGTGTGAAACATCCATTCAAGCGCTGTTCTGTTGTAAAAAATTCGACTTTTACCATCTAAATTGCGGTTGGAAGCAGTCTTCCTTCACGTTATATCCTTTTTTTCTGGCACCAAGCGAGAAACCGTGATTGTGGAAAAATTCAAAATCCAGTTCTAATAGATCAATACATTCTCGAAATTTTGGCAAGTTTTTTGGATCGTGACAATTCGTGGGAGGCAAGCCTAAGCATTTAGTACATTTGTAGATTTTGGAAATCATCTTTTATGCATAGATGTGTATCATATCGCATTCAGCTTACCGCATAAACTCACTCTGCACAACATTTTTCCTCTTACAAGTTTTTTTGAAACTTTTTATAGAAGTGCAGAGGCTTCCGTCATATGGTAATCGCAACCTTGTCTATGATACAAGTTGCTTTGCAAAATTCACGCTTCTGACATAATCGTTGGAATTTTGATCATGTTTGCGTCGCAGAAGTCCACACTCGCCCTCAATTATTCTACTGAATTATTTCTCATGAGTATACTCAAAAGTAGTTTCGAAGTTCAAATGCAGCCCTTCTTTTAAAGGCAACCGCACAAAAGCAAAGGCGACTATGACATGAGACTCATAAACAAATAATCTGTTTCAGGCCGTTGTACTCATCCCTGTGATTATCGTATCCACACGAAAATTTGCTGCCCTCAATACGCTTGGTAGCGTGTTGCTTCTGATGAGGTAAGAAGAATCTTTCTTTTTGGCCAGTGAAGTATTCGTTATCGTAGTGTGCTGTAATTTGATACATACATCTTCTGGCACTGGACCTCTTTTCCGAGATATAATTCAATTTCGTAGAATTCGCAAAGCTTTACGAACAGACTGCAACGTTTTTTTTTTCGTAAAATAAGCTGTCAAGTCATCTGTCTTCATTCTCAAAGTTTCAAAGTGGTAGTGGCAGAGAGTGGCATAGCGAAAAGACAATGTTGTAAGGGCTGTTATTCTCGATGTCAATGTTTTCAGCTGGTCTGACGTAAGAGTTGAACCGAAAGCTATCACAACACATTATTGACTTGATGAACTTCCTCCTGCTAGTAGCTAATTATCTGATTTATAACGTCGCTATTAATCCATCTGATAAAATTACCAATAAGCAGGAGTTTGCAAAATGTAGCAGAAGAGTACAGCAGAAGTTTTAGGGCAAAAGCTTTTTGTTGAAGTAGCTGTTCTTTCATCAAACTCGTACTTGTTAATCATCAAGTAAGGGGTTTTTTGGAGTATTTGGAATATCGTTAAAGTAGCCTGCTATGATCGAAAATAGTGTATCCAACTTAACTGGAGAGAGAAAAAGTAAAAATGGATTTTTGAAGGAAAAGTTCTTTCTTAACGGCACCAGAGGGACTCAACTTTACGACACCATAATGTTAAAAGGTTGTTCCAAAAGGCACTATAATCGTATAAAGAAACAATTCGATATATGTAGAATGCCTGTACTTATATTACAAATCTTCTATTATACATATTAGATATTCTGGTAGAGGAAATAAAAACCGAGTGAGAAAACGAAAATCCTAGGTAGACTAGGACATCCGGTCATGGTTTTTCTATAAATTACTTGTAAACCAATCAAAAGTAAAAAGCCATATCGGATCTTTCACTATTACGACTGAGCGTTTTTTTTTATTGTATCGCGCATTATACACAACTAGCTGGCTTACCCGGCTCCGCCGTATGTTCCGAATAGAAAATTCCATTTCTTAACCGATCCGGACCAAACTTGGCACACATACACTTCGGGCCCCGGCGGGTGTCACAGTTCACTTTTCGTTATCGATCGATGTCGATTTCATCAATTTTTTGCAAAATTTGAGCTAGGGGGCTGGAATTTGGCAGAAGGGTGTAATCGAGCATGCCCTCCCTGTGCCAACTCCCAGCCCCGTAGCTCAAATTTTGCAAAAAATCGATAAAATCGATATCGATCGATAACGAAAAGTGAACTGTGACACCCGCCGGGGCCCGAAGTGTATGTGTGCTAAGTTTGGTCCCGATCGGTTCAGAAATGGAATTTTCTATTCGGAACATACGTACACACAGACAGACAGACAGACAAACAGACATTCAGCTTTATATATAAGATAAATTCTGCGTGAAAAATCATCAAAAAAGAAGATGATATTATGTCTGCGCAATATCTCGGAGCATATGGTTCTATTGGAATTGAAAAAAGCTTTTTTCTTCAAAAATCCGGTGCGAGGCTTACATGACGTTTTAGTAATTATCAAAGTGAATGTGACAAACAGTTGCTTTAAGCCGCGCCATATCACTACTGTGTAAAAAAAATCTTATACATCCATTACAGCTTTGCCTTCCTTTGGGGACCAACGGCTTATCTACAACATCTGATGTCAGCACAGAGACGTCTTGTTACCGTATGCTATATGTCCGCACTATTCGCCACTCTCTACTCTTCACTATGGGTTTGTCTAATGCTAATTGCTTGAAAATTTTGCAGATTTCGTATTTGGTGAGAGCAAAGCTAAAGACGAAAATGCTGTCTAGATTTACACTAAAAAATGACATCGGAATGATCGGAATGACAGCGCCCCAAGCTTTAAAATCATGACAGATAAATACCCTCGTTTCTACTGACAACAGCTGAACTGCTGCAAGCGCTTTTTTTGCTGCGGCTAAAGCTTTCATATGTTAGGAATGATTAGACATAATCCATTATCTTTTTTACAAAAGGTTTTCATGGTATGCGGAGCTGTCGGCAGGTGGTTGGGGGAATGAAGAAGTTTTTGCTGATGGCTGCATTAAAAGGTTGAGAAACGCGCGTATACCTTGAAATTTTGAAGGTGGTTGTTTTTCAAAACATGCTTAACTCGTACAAAGAACTTGTTAGCAGCTGCTTCCAAGACTTTTTTGCGAACTGATGGACATTTCTCCGAGTTTTGCATAGTTTTTCAGTCTTTTTTTGGCAATCATTTCTCAAATGCGATCGTATCTTGTTTATTTGCCCGCAGATGGACATGGTCTTTTTTGGGTTTGTTGGATGAAAACGATTTTAGCTGACGACTTCTTGCGACCCCATCATTCGCGTATGTTCAAATCGGGACCATTCATACTTCACGGTGCTAAAATACAAAATACTCGCTTTCACTGCTATAACGTGAACGCTTCGATGTGCACATTTGTCGTCTGTCAAATGTTGTAATCCTTTCCGCATTCGTTACTCGATGGAACTCATTGTTTTCCACGTTACACCCACTCATGAGGAAATTGTTTTGTGGAGTGAGTATGGGCGCAGAACCTATGTGAGTATCAATATGAGAATCCAGCTCCGAATGAGCTGAATGCTTCCGTTCGTCCGATGAATAGCGCATATCGTGAGCGTTGTTGGTTTTGTCTGTAAAGGGTCTGATACCGATTGGGAAGTTATTTTACGAATGTTTATACGTACATCTGACACAAAAACAAAAGCAGTACAACTTGTAAACGAACAAGAATGTATGCAAAAACCCGCAAGATGAGTTGACGTTGGCGCAAAAAGAGAAGCCCGTCGTCAAAGCTGAGATGCTGATAAAAAGTCCGTGTTGTCGCTATCGTCGGTTTATGGCATTGTCATCATTTTCACGAATTCTTCATAGTCAATCTGAAGGAAGACTTTGATTTATGCACAGAGAATCTGACGAAAAAAGTGCTTTTGACTTTGAGCTGGGTGTACTTTTGTCTGAGCCCACACTAACTAAGTCTCTGGGTGATTAGACAGAGCCGTGGCGAAAGCCGAGAATAACAACGCTTTCATGGAGATTAGTGCAAGTCTACTTTAAGCTGCGCCACTTTGATCGACGATTTTTTTTGAAAACCATGTTTCTTTAAGATGCCGCGGCCAAGGGTAAACCGAAAGACCAAGTTGAAAACGCTCCTCCCGAGAGAGATGGCACCCTGCTCTTCTCAAGGATTCCGAGATCTCTTAGCGCGGTCAATTCTGCCGCTGCTGTCTGCCGCGAAATGATTGCCGCTAGCGTGAACAATTGAGATCTGGAGAGTAACACTTGCTCGTAGCTCGCCAAACAGTAGCCTTCTGAGACGGACCTATGCGCATGATTTCTCTCATGCGCCTTGATGGAGGTACACTAAATGATCATCTCTCCATGAGAGAGAGCTGTTTTCCTGGGCTGTTGATAGCCTATCGCTGGGCTGAGGAATGCATGTTGTGTTGGAGCAACCAAGAGGTCATCGAGCAAATGAATCGCTTTGTCTGCCTGTAGCAGCTGTCCCGTGCTTAAGTGCGGAGTTATTGAATTTCACTACTACTTTTTGATAGCTCAGTTTGTTCTAAAGTTACTCCTTAAAATTTTTTCATCTAAGGAGCTAAAAATGAATGCCAGATACTGATTTACATTGTGCGAATTTGTTTACCAGAAGGGGTGGGAGAGTGTGCAGAATTTGAAGAGCGGAAGCGCATTTTTCAGAAATAACGAAAAAGAGAGTGGGAAGTACCAGTTATACACCATCATGCATTCAGGGCTCATAAGAATGCATATAAAAGCAGCTGTTTGACGCACCTGCCCGTCACCATCGATATCAACTTCGGCTATGATTTCGTCGACTTCTTGGTCGCTGAATTGTTCGCCCATATGCGTCATAAAGTAGCGAAATTCCTCTGCCGTAATAAAGCCGTTCCCGTCGCGATCGAAAACGCGGAAAGCTTCTCGGATCATCTCGCTATCATTCTCCTGGAACAAAAACGGATCATGAGGATCTGCGATGTGATTGAAAATTGAAACCAGCATTTGCCGTGCATAAATATGGTTATGTGATGCACTAGTGCTAATGGTGTTTCGGCTTTTCATATCCGTCAAAACGAGGCGGCTATGGCTGCTCTCTTGTTTTTGACGAATGCAGAAACTGAAACGCTTTTTTGCTGTGCAAGTGAGCAGTTCAGGGCACATCTTAATTGACTTTGCTATAGCGATGCGTCCGGCGTGCTGCCTACCACGTAGATGTGGATTCAACAACGGATTTTGCATTTGAAGGTGTTTCATGGTATTAGAGGCTTATCTTGGAGCTGCGAAATCCGCGCAATGGAAATTACGGTATATATATTTGACGCAGGGAAATTCTTGCTCACCTTGTTCATTCTTTTCATCATTTGACAAAACTCTGGAAAGTCTATGGTTCCGCTCCCATCAATGTCGACTTCGTTGACCATATCCAGCAGCTCTTGTTCTGTGGGGTTTTGACCCAAGGATCGCATTGCAACGCCCAACTCTTTTGATGAAATTGATCCATTTCCATCCTAGAAGTAAGGAATGCATTCGAGGCTGGCCAACGATATGTGTACATTTCTCCTGCAGGAAAAAGCAGCAAGAGCCAGCTTCAATAAAAATTGTCGCAGTAAGGCCTCATACATACATGCAACAGTCAATAGCATTCATTGTCATGCCGAAATGGGTAACGGCAAGCAGTAATGAGCACTATGACATCATTTTGTTGCCTCAACCTAACATAGTAATTTGACGAGAGGACATGCCGCCTTTGTTATGCGTGTATGCAGAGCCTATGAAGCGAGAGATCCAAATAAAGCTGCGAATGAACGAACCTTGTCAAACAACCGGAAGGCTTCTTTGTATTCAATAAGCTCCTCTTCATTAATGCCTTCTAAACCCGTCGGCACGTCCGTCTGCTTCTGTTGCCATCGGTTGAATAGCGAGACGCGCCTCGGATCGGACGACATATCTCACTTCTCTTATCTAGAACGCTACATAAATTACGGTAGCTTATGGATGCCCAAAGAGAATTTTCCTTGCGAGCAAATCTTGGAACATCGGGCAAATGGGATTGAGACAAATTCGAGTTGGAGCTATCCCTAGAGCAGAGTAATGGATATAATAGTTATTCATAATGGAATGATTACGTTCGGAGGCCGTTACCCGGTTGGCATTGATTTGTTTATGAACAATTAGACCAAAGGCTTGCACTCGTTTCACCAACCAAATTGCTGAGCAAGGGGAATCAGCGGAAAACGATGAAAGATCACCAACATAAAGGGTAGTGGCAAAGGCGGCTCTAAGTGATCTCTCGAAATCGGGGCGCTACCATCTTGGTACCTGACGGATGGCTTCACGTACTGTAGCGGAAGTGGCTAAGTACGGTTTCGCTGGTTGAATTATACAAACAGGGGAAAGCCTGAATAGCCAGTGTCGGTTTGGCTCACACGATGGTGCGAACCATAGGACCACACTCGCAAGCCGCCCCAGCCCCGCCCATTGTCGATGGAGCACAACTGGCGCGGCTGACAGCAGTTTGTGCTGGCTCCCCCATCACGTGCGATATCAGTTCGTTCCAAGCACCTTCACAACGAGTTACAGGGCATAATATGCCACGCACATATGTGTTGGTAGAAGAAATGCTTGAATCACGATTATGTGTTCGTGGGAGGCACAACCAGAGAACGGCGAGAGACGAAGCCATTTCTATCATCACGTCATCTCCGTGAAGCCATAGGTGGTTTGGTATCCGCAAAGTAGATTGCATCTGCGGGATGACTAATGAGATCTTTTGGATGGCCAAAAATCTCTCGACCTTGGCCAGTAAATAGGTTTTCTTTTTTGTAAGAATGTTTATAACATGATCATTACGAAGGAAAAGACAAGAAATATGGGAAACTGCCTCTTTTCCTTTGCTTATGCTATCAAAGTGAATGATTGCTAATGGTTGCCGAAAATGTCTAAAATGTAGAGACAATTCCAGCTTTCAAAGCGCTTGATTTATGGTTTCATTTATCACGCACAAAGTGCCGTTTTCAAAACTAGAATGATTGTTAGTCAAAAAAGCAAAAACAAATGGGACTTTTAACCAGCGAGAAGTGCAGTTACAAATAGAGATTAGCGATAGAACAATTTTCTTAGCGGTTCTCATGTACAGGTATATAAAAATTCGAGCTATGCGACCTGTATCGGGGTGTGTGAACTCATTTTCGAAAATTTAACAACTACTCTTTGTTTGTTAACTGAGCTTACCACATAGGCATATTTTTGGCTGCAGCGTCAGTAGTTTTTACTCTGCGAGGATGAGCAACATCGCGCGCATTTACAGCTTTGGAAGCACATCTCCAAATTTAGCTGCGGTCTTGCTATCATTAGCACATTGCGTCACATGATGGCTTTACGTCCGTGGAATCTCACGCCAGTTTTCGCATATTTCCCTCGGTAATTAGTACTAAACCGGCTCATAGATATTTATGTCTCTGTTCGCTTAGCTCGTCAGAGCTGCAAAGACGGCTGAGTGGTTTCTGCTTACTGCTTGAAGTGAGAGTGAGCTTTGAACGTTTGAAGATCGTTTGAAGATGAGCAGCGAATCTATTGGAGGGATTGTCAAGGACATAGAGAAAGCAAAACCATCATCATGGGTCCCGCGAAAAATCTTCGAAGATTTCATGTATGACTTTCATACTGGGCGTTTACTGTGCTGCGAGCTGTTTCAATGGAATTACATATGAGAATCAGTATCTCCTGACTGAAATCTAATTACTTTTCAATGATTTCAGCTTCAAAGCACACTGTTCACTCTCATCGCCGCCATCTTCCAAGGTTTCTCTTTGATTTGGTGAGTCTTGGCATTTCAACTTTGAGGTCATATTAAAAAGGACTTTATGTATGAATCAATCTTCGAATGTGCCAGACGCATTTCGCTAATGCATCTTATTGAATTACTTCTTCTGGTTTGCTGCTGATGCTGGCAGAACGGGTAATATACTAAAATGAGCAGCTGAAGCATGATTATTACCCTTTGTGAAAATATGGTTTGAAAATCAGCTGCGGTGGTTTTCAAATAATCGAATTGTGAATCGATTCGGGTAAGTTCAGACAACATTATCACTAGCCATGAAGCCGTATCTCTCCTTGCCATCAAAAAGCACACTATGAAATGCTGTGGACAGCTGAAGGCTTTCCTAGGGCTTTGTAGTTACCTGTGACATTAGTAATCCTGGCTTATTGATAATAATAAATGGGCATGAATTTTTGTTTTACCCAATCTATCTTTTTGGGCAGGTAAATAACGTGGCCAAAGCAGCGTTCAGAAGACGAAAGCCATTTTTCTACCCAGAAATTGTGCGGTCAATGTTTTCACCCCACTCAAATGTCATACATACCTAATGTGGAGTGCTAAACGTTGCTGACATGCAGCACCATGGAAAGTTACCAAAAAACTTGTTTTTTCTGGAACGTTTAGAATTTCTCTACCAGAATGGGCATTTTTAATCTGCTAACAAGCTTGCACACCTTTAGTATGCGAGCAGAGGATAGAAGCTTCCAATCCTACATTCCGTTTTCACATAAATAATAAGAGCACAGATAAAATTTGGAGTGTTGAGAAAACGCGATGATTGACTCAAGAATTGCAGATAATCAGAGTTCTAAGAGACTAAGACAGAACAACCCTGAACAACTATGTCAGAAAATGTGAGGCATATGAAATTTGAAGCGAAGTTATTAGTGACAGATGTCAAGCATTGACGATATGGACTTGCCATATGCTTAGTACATAAATTAGCTTACATGCCGAAGGACAGCGTTTTCTGAAACTATATAACTATATAACTATCAACTTAAACTCACATTAGTACAAAAGTGAGATTAATGGAACCACCGGCAATTTTTGGCGAAAGCATATTTGTTTCGCTGGTGTAAATCTTATTATCGACTCTACCATACTGCCTCTTCATATTTCTCACTCATAGGCATCTTGGCGCAGATATAGGAGAACATCTATCACTTTCTTTGTATAGCTTCTACCGTCATCGTTCTGAGTCTATGGGGAATAAATACTCGATGTTCAAAGTTGTCATGATGCTAAACAACGATGCTCTGCCATGACGTTTAGCAAAAAGTGTTGTCAGTCATTCGTTCTTTTGCTGAAACTCATATCCGCATAAGTCCAACTGAATTTTTGATGGCAAAAGTAGTTGCTCTTGATATGCCGCGCTCGAAAGAATTTCCAACGCAGAGCTTCTTTCATTTTGATTCTTCGGATTTCCGAACAAAGCCAATTTTTGATAGAATAAGTAATTATATCATTACATTAATCCTAGGTTACAAAGCATTCAGTTCATATAGAATGAGTAGATTGTGGAGGGAATGAGTGAAACAGATGAATGAAGCACATGAATGCTGTCTTTGAGACTGGAAATCCATTTCAATATGCATAACACAAAGGAAGATATCTCAAGAAAGACGACAGATGTTCAGTTGCCTTACTAGCTTTTGAGGTGATTAAAGTTTTTAGAAAAGATTGATTTGCATATCTGTGACGAGTAATGTGATAAGGAAGTCTGAAATCTTCAAAGCTACACATGCAGGGGGTTTGGTGGTGGAGGAATAAATTTTGGTCGTTCTCTGTCATCCTCCGTCTTGATGTCCATAAACCTTGTACTATATCACACATCATCTCACCTTTTCGCTGCTTTGCACAAATTTATGGTTGGCTATCCCATCATTATCCACAATAAATAGCGAAAACAATGTGCAGTGAGGGATAAACGTTGCGAATTGGCAGCAGTGTTTTCATCGGACTCGAAAACAACGGCGGCACCATAGAAACGAAGCGGATATAATAATACGTCTCGAAAGCAGTCGTCAATATGATTGAGTAGGTAATGTTAGACCTGGTGAACGAGAGCTTTTACTCGATGACAAATGGAATTCCGGTGTTTTTGAGATTCAGAGGAATTTGAATGTTGCCTAGGGTCCAGGAAAGCTTTCAGCACTTTGCAAATAGCCTCAGGGTGTTTGGCAAGTGGATTTGCTCGCGCTAGTCAAATGTGCGAGATCAGAGGCTGCTTAGAGAATAGGGCAAAATGGCACGTGAGATCCGCTGAGGATTATAACAGAGTTCAGTGCCTCAACTACTTCCTTTACCGGATGTATCGCATGTGAACAATTGCTTTGCTCTACCCAGACCAGCACGCGCAGTCTGTCAATAATTGATGGATTTACTGCCAATTCACTAGAATTACAAGTAGCCAAAGCTGTAGATGTTCATTTCGTATCATGGAAGCCGTGGGGACAGAATGCTAAGCTTTTGCGCCAAGACATCAATCGTTGTTAGTTGAGTTATATGAGGGCTCTGACATGATTTGAGCTGGAATGACTGCTTCATTGTAGTGAATTTATATGCCAGCACCCTGGTAAAATCAAAGCAGGTTACATAATACTGATGGTAGACTAGATGTTGTACTTATCTCCTTTACGAAAATGCTCTTTTTTTAACGCAAAATCAATCGATCTTCGTGATTTTACCTAATTTTAGTCTATCTGCTCTCTTCTTTTAACGAGTGCAGCTTCGATTACCATTCTATAGAGCAAAGCAAGTTTTAAAGATGGTCATCTACCTAGGTCGTGTCCCACGTAATGTTTGTGGCTGAATTCTGATAGTAGGCAGAAACGGAATCAAGCCCCAAACAACTTATCGCAGTTCCAAAATATTCTACAAATTAGACTATTTTTTTGCAATCCGTAATTTATTTTTTCCTAGAAATGAGGAGGAAAACAATGGAATTGAAATAGCTAACTCTACCCACGGTGGTCCAAGAATGCTTGCACTTACATGTCTATAAATTACTGTATCTTTACTGTTGTTATAATATGTGAGAAAACTGTAGTCTACAATCTAAATTTAGTCGCTTACGCAGTCATGAATATTGCCTTCCAAGCATACACCATCTTTTCAGACGAAGCTTATTAATCTTCTGTTAGAGCATAATAACAATGTCCCATCTTAGCATGTAATCCTCCAAGATCCACGATTCGCGTCATGATGACGTCCGAGACGGAACTAACGAGTGATTCTGCGTGTGCGATCGATTTAGACAGCTGCTTCAAGAAGTTTATGTGATTGTAACTATTGGAGTTAGCGGCTAATCGTTTTCATAACAGCCACAGACTCAAGTTTATTTTTAGCTATCCATATGGGACCAATTTTGCTCGCATTTCAATTTTCCAAAATTTGATAGCACACGCATGGTGATAGATGTCTGCCCACTGTTGTACTTCTCAGACCGATAAATTACAACAACAATCTGAATGCGTGGAATGCAGGATTACACTTAGATTCTTGAGATTTTTGAAGTGCTAGCTGTATTGCAGTAACCGTTTATCTGCGTCGAAAGCATTTTGCTCTGGGGTACTTCCGTCTACCATATGTAGGCTTGATCGCCAGTAGGGTGAATTGCTAGTTTACTTCAAATCTTGAGTGTTCGGTAGCTGAGTAGGGCAACAGTCCAGTTATATTCTTGAAAGGGACCGGACAGTTGTTCTATCTGAACTTATGCTGAAGTATGTACAGACCCTTCTTCTTTGTTTCGAGTAGTTGCGGTAGAATATTAGCTGAGTGAGTTGTGTTTGATTGACAACAACTTTGATTTTTTCATAATTCTTCATAAGACACAAGAATATTACCATTACTTCAATCCCGACATCACTAAAAGAATTTCGTAATGTTTTGAGACTTTTTGTCATTGGTAGCGCCCTTGATTCTGGCTATTCTGTGTTTTCACTCAGTGACCTCTCTTCTGACATATATCAATTATTTCTTGCTTTTTAAATTCAACTCTGTCAACAACATAACTGAATCTTTCAATCTGTCTGACCTTTTGCACCAGATTCAATTTTGTCAAAGGCGCTTTGTCCTTTCATTAGCTGAACTTTAAATGCGTTCTAAGGGTATTTTATCGACAGCTTAATGGTACATTCAAAGTTTCCATAATTTATGTATGAAAAGTATCTTAAGCGGAAACGAAAACCAATTAGAAAGCAGGACCAATGAAACCATTAAAAAATATCAAATTGGCTTCATGCGGGAGAAACTCTCAAATATAGTCTTTAAAATAATGAACACTTCAAATGTCATTTATTCTCGTTTATGATCAATGTGCTGTTTTTCATCTATAATTTTGCATGAAAGATGTACAAAGCATGATGTCAAGTTAATATCCCAATGTTGTTCTCATAAGAGAGATGGGTTAGTGAGCGACATTTGTCATACTCGCTAGCGGGCATTCGAGTGCTCGTGAACCGAGTGTTCGCCGAGTGTATTCTTCCTAAACGTCACTCAGTTTACGAGGGCACCGGAAGTGGGAGTCTCTTTCGCGACTGAAATCAGTGAAGAAACTCGAATTCGGGGCACTTCGAGCAAAAGCACTTCTAGCGAATTTTCTTCGTTATTCTTTGCGGAGTAAATTTGGGTAGTGGACTCTTTGGCAGGAATGTTCTTCTTCTACAAAGCTAATTTATAAGAGGAGAATACGTTTAGGTCATAATCTGATTTAATCTGTGGTTTAGTTGGCATGAGTATGCTGAATATTGCATAATCTTGCGGTCATTGTATTTCTGAGTTATTTGTTTCGAGCGAAAGCCTTCTACTATAATTGAACTGGAGGATTTTGCTTATAAAGTAGGGATAATGCTTCGTGGCCTAATTCGTATTAGAATATGCAGAAGAATTTATATGAATGACTACATAGTTGGCTTTCCCGGTCCAGACCGGGCCATTGTTCTCCTGCACTGCAAGCCCCCCCCCTTTCATTTTATATGTTATGGATAACTTACCCTGGAACATCCGCTTCGAAAGCGCATCCTCGTGATCTTGATGTGAAAATGAGCTTCACCGCCCTCCTTTACATGGCTATGGCAAAATGCTTGATTAAACATGATAAGCCTTCAATTCCTTGGAAAAACGTAAACAAATCAATAAATCGATAGAAGGACCCAGTGAGTCGCCGCAAAAAGTAGCCTAAAACCGTCTCCGGGGTCGAAAACATCTGACAAACTTTCAGCCCAATCGGTTGAGTGGCGCGCGTTTCTATAACTCACATACCCCCCAAACAGACAATTTTGAGTTTTATATCTATAGAGATTATGGCGGCAGCTAGTCGCAGGCGTCATGTTTTCTGAAATCTTCGTTCACTTTATGATTCACTAAATACACTCAAAATATTCCATATCAAAGAAAATAGCTCGCAGCAAAAGTTAAAGAATGAAGATTGCACGAAATAGACATTGTGTTTAAGGTAATGAGCAAACTTTACTCGCTCCATGCATAATTTAACTGTAAGCTTGAATGGATTTGTAAGCTCAGCAGAAATGATCCAACAGATTTCACAAATATCATTATGCTGTATTTTTGTGTTATGATATAGTCAGTTGTAACTCAAGCTTAGGTTGTGTTTGGGATGTTCGAGTATCTGCCTATCTTTGGAAAAGACTTGTAGTTATTGGACCGTGTAGCACATAATTACAAAGTAAATGTATTTTGTAGAACCTAAATAGTATTGTACTTTTTTATTAGAATCGCAGTTTACCCAATCAAATATGAATCAAAAAAGAAAATAATGGGTATTTCAGGTTCATCCTTTCGTACGTACCCGGAGGAGAGCGAGGTCTTCGCTTCCTGACATCCTTGTGCACGGGCTTTTTGAAGAAATCTCCAAAAACTGTGTTACCTATTTAGTATTTATACGCAGCTGTGTAGAAAGTCATATAGTCACCACATATCTATTGTTTTTCATTCTATATTCCTCTTTTAAGAAAGCTCCTCAACAGAAGTGTGTCTTTTCTGTTATATTGAAATTTTCATCTATTGTGCAGACATCGTAGCTTGAGTTTCCGTACCAAGCATCGAGTTCATCACTGTTCCATCTCTACAATCATTGTCTTAGCCATCGAAGCGCAAGCTTACTCACCCACTCATCATTTATGCAATTCCTCCTTGTGATGTGCGGTTATCTGGTTTTGAATTGTGATTCTAACATGGGTCAGATATTTGCATAAATTGAATGCGACTAGCTACTTCACTACTACATATTCATTTCACCTTGATAATGTCATGAAAGCGAAAGCACAACAATTTAATTCACTGAAAACACCACTTTACTGAAAGAAGTTCACTTCCAGGAGTAACTGAATATGACTCATTGTTGCACACTGACTCCTCCTCTTTTCGATAGAACATGGTCTTATTTCACCTCGGCAAAAGAAATCGAAGGACACATTCTTGTAGTCATAAACAGAGCAATTTTATTATTATTCTATTCAGTGTAATCTACTCTATTCAGGAAACAAGATTTACTCACGCGGTAGGATATGCCTTTCATAGATGCTATAATTGAAGGGCCAAGCGTAAATAAAGTCTATTTCGCCTAACACAATAATCTGGAGCAGTAATTGTGCAGACATTATTAGCGCATGCATAAAGAAATAATTAATATGCCTTTTGAGCAAATTTGCCGAATGGCCCAGGAAGGAATTCATACGAATGCTGCAAAAAATTGTATTACACTGAATATTTTTTGCTTGTTCTTCTACAATCATGGAAATTCAAAGCTGTTGCATAAAGCTGTTGCATTATACTAAATTTCTAGACATTTAAAAGTTGCTGATCTGAAGACGATGACGTCTGTTCTTGGTGTTCGCGAAAACAAGAGATCAACCAACAAAACGGAGCGGGTGGCTCAGAAATGCATATGAATTGAGAGCCAACAAACAAATAGACGAGAACGGTTTCCAAAGATTCTGCTACTTCATTTGTTGATCTGTTTGTAATACGTATATTGCGTTTGACAACAAAAAAGTGAGGAACTACCGGTCTCCCTTAGCTAGCAGGCCACTTTCTTTTTCATGCAAAGAAGGTTCCTATCTGTGTTTCCATTCCCAGGCACGAATGCATCTCATGATAGCATTGTCGCCAGTGTAATAAACAACTCAACTCAGACGGATGAATCCGTACAGCGTTCACGCAAGTTTTAACGTTCTGGCTACTAAGGGGAGGGGGGGGGAGGGCACGAGAAAGGCGGCAATGCTCGGAAAATGCAAGCAGTGTAAAATCGCTCTTACTCTTGTTACAAAATGTCGGGGTAGGGCGATTCGCACGACCGTGATGCTTTCCACACAGGACCACCGCCGCGCGCTACACACCTGCGGCGGCTTCCCTAAGGCTGCGTTCATACTGATCCCGAAGTCCGGGAACAGTCCCAGCACAACACTTAGTTCGAGCGCTGTACTGAAACTGTTTCGCACTTCGGGATCAGTATGAACGCAGCCTAAGCAAAGCAATGGGAAGAAAGGTTTGCGGCGTGCGTGACGTGTTAAAGGCAGCGTCCGGACGAAATTTCGCCTCTCATGTTTCTGCCATTCTGGGGCCTTTCCGTGGCCCTGATTATAGTCGTGAAATCCAAAGCGTTCAAAACCCCCAAAAAACCCGATTCTTGGGGACCCTCTCTTCAAGAAGCGGACGAGTTTCGGATTGCTCGTCACCATCGCATGCCAGCTTGAGGAGCTGCCTAGCGGGTGTATGTCAAGAGGCGCGATTTTTATTGCCAGCTGGATAGCAAATAGCACGTATTTAGTGTTTTATAAGGTTCTGGGAGTATTTTAGAGTTTAGGGGAGATATATCAGATGGTTGCACGAGTTGTCCAGTCTTACGTTTCAAAAGCGTTTCAAAATGAACATATTGAAGGTCAAAAACTCATGAAAATGCAATTAATAACAAATTTGTATTTATTTTGGTCGAATTTTCAGCGAAAGCCTTTTTCAGCAAGTGGTAACTTTAGATGACTAGAAAGCCAATGTAATTTGTCTGTGCTTTTTGAAGACTTGCGTAGCCCTAAATTTGAGTTTTGAATTGGTGACAGCCAAAGAAATCGCACCTCTTGACCGTCTCCCGAGGAGCTGCACTACACGGGTGCAGTTGCATTGCAATGTGCAGTGCAACTGCAATGCAACTGCACACCTGCGTGAGCACTCGACCTCAGGGGTGGTTTGTGATACGAAGGGGCGGTTTGTGATATGTATCAGAGGCCCGTATCTCCTTTTAGAGGCCACGCCAAAGTATCGGACCCAGGCAGATCGGATACTCATGGTCCCCTCTTTACAACTATGTGCTAATCTGGGTGGATGGATCTTGCCTGGACGCTGCCTTTAAGACAAGTCAAAATCAGGGTGACGCTTGATACCGACCGTGCGAAAAGACCGTGTCCCCAAAATTTCACTTCTGGCATCGAGTCGTGTATCTGCCCTCCCCCCCCCCCCCCCCCTACCTTGGCGCCGTGTCACTTTAGCGCCGAAGAGTTTTGGAAGGCACAAGTTTTGGGGATTGCCGCCTTCCGCACCACACCCCATCATAATCAAGTATCAGAGCCTCAAGAAAAACTACAAACTCGGCTTACAAAAGAGAAGAAAATTATAAAAAAATATCCAATTTCCGTTTCATTTCTTCCACTAGACGGAAAAAGGATAGGATTACGACCTTCCCCGGAAATCATCAGTAGTGAAGGAAGGTCGTAGGCGTGCAATGAAAAAGGAGAAAGACAAAAAGGAACTAACCTTAACCGGTCGGATGCTGTTGAGCTCGTTCGAGTGGTTCTGAGCCTGTAAAGAATAATAATAGAATAATTAATAATTGAAGTGAATAAGAATTCAAACTATTTTTGGATGATCAAAAGGTAACAAGGATACTTTGAAGTAAAAAGTAGTTAATGGAAGTACTAATTTTCTAATCAAAACGGAGTCCTAAAATCCAAACACTGCTCCTGAACATGCAAACCACTGTGAGCGAATCGCCAAACGCCTTGAACGAAATTTACTCAGCCCTTATTGCGTTTCTACATGGCAAACACAAATGAACGTATGCGGTTAACCTAGTGCTTGTTTTCGACAAGGACAGCCAGGCACTCGTCCACCGTTCTCCTGCTCCAAAACAGGGATTTTTTTTGAGGACTCACTCTTTTTAGATGCCAGTTCTGGAATCAGCCATAAAAACGCTTAACTAAGGTAGAAGGATGGTAGTTGAGAATTTGCCTGGAGACGCTGCTGTAAGAACGCTAAAAAAGCGAGACTTTGAGGTAGAGGCCTCCCCAACTGTTTTCCCAAACGGGTACTGCATGGAAAATCCATTGATCTGAAGAATTGGAGCATTTGTTGAGGCGAAAATCAGAAAGAAAAGCGATACTCTTTGCAGTGACCCGAGAAGGTCTCATTTCCCATACTGACCTAAATGAGCAAAAACGTTTTAATTGAGCTCAAGTTTCTAGACAGACGTTTATACGCGTTTAGCCAATATGCTTGGAAGTCACTGACTAAATGAGAAGTCACTATCAGCAGCACTGCAACACCTGGTAGATTGTTGCCAAAGCCCTTTATGTTTGCAACAGAAGTTGCTATCATAAGGGATCTTGGCAACAAAAAGGGAAGAATTTACGCTCTAGGAAATAGTCGACTCTTTTCTTCCTCTCTCCAGCAGCAACCTTTCAAGCCAGTTTTTTTTCAGCAACCTTTCAGCCAGCCAGCCAAACACTCGAAAAGTTATAAGGTTCTGTATCCAATCATCCAACTATGGTTGGTTCTTTTCATGCTATGAATTAATATATTTCGTGCTTTTGAAGATAGATGGGGGATAGAACAAATATCTGCAATGTTATCTATGCCCTTTCGATTAACTTCTCAGAATCTCACAAGACAACGGATTAGTTTCTAAAATTAAGATAAGTCTCCATTGATTCTTACTGATCGCATCAAATGTAAATGAATATTTAGTTCATAGATTTTGAAATACAACTCATTGAGATTGATTTGAGCACAACAACACGCATGCGTAGAAGCAAAATTGCCCTGATTTTCTGCGAAGTTCAATCTCGACTTCGATTGCTCACGAGTGGTATGATTACGAGCTTCTTATTTGTTCAGGAACATTTCTACATCTTGCATTTACCTGTAAATTTTCTGTTTTCATAGTTGGAACTTGAGAAAGACGCATACACCAATATGGGTCAAAAGCGGCCAAAATGAGCTTTCAGGGCTTTTTCCGCTAAATATAATAGTTCTCAAAAACTATCGTTTGTAAAAGGCCGAATTCATGGTTTTGCTTCCAAAGGTTCATACTTCAGAATTACCTGTGTAGGAGCAGCTAAGCGCAGCTTTGGCAAAAATAGGGAAATTATTTTTTTCTTCATTTCTAGAAATCAACAAATTCACAGATGAATGCCACAAGTAGAAAGTATGTGCCTGAAGTAAGAAAATTGTGGGATTTTTAAGACAGATACAATTTTTTTCACTTTTCATTCATTCAAATCCTTTTAGATTTTGGTGTCGAACTTTATGTGGAACGAATTTGAAGCAAATATTTGAGCACCTTTTTGTAAAGCTTGCTTTGCTTTATCGAACAAGTACCCCTTTACTTGGGGTTCGACTGGTCGCGGTGCCATAGCAAGCAAATGAAAAACAACATTATTTCCTTGACAACCTAATATGATAGGTCAAAGAAACGGTTTTGAAAAACAACTGAGACGACACTGACTCGCTTAGAAATGCAGTGTTAATAAAATCTTATGGTCAGGCATCTTGCCAGTATATGGAACAGCTCAATCATTTCCATGATCAGAGTCCAGAGGAATTTTGTACGTGTTACACCCTATTTGTAAATGTTTTCAGCTTTTTTTGGGCCTGCCACATTGATGCTTTACTACATTCGCAAGATTTGTTATCAAATTCCGTAATCATGAAATGGTTATGAATTCTGACATAGACCGATAATCTAACTGAAAGGTATAATCTATTGCCCTCTTCCTGGATTAAAACGGTCGGGGGAGAAACTCCACATTTCAATGACACAGTCTTGGAATAACTCAACGATCCCCTTATTCGAGGCAGAGCAAGTGGAAAATTGCTTTAAAAGTGTGACCTCACACAGCTTTGTTCCTGGGTATGACCTCTCAAGAGTGTTCGTAGAGGTGCGTCATTGTTGCAGTTGACCTTTACGTTTGGGTTATTAGACTATGTAGACTAA